TACCAAATCGAAACTTGGTGTTTAGTTTTTATCTATACGAGAAGTGATAATGCAAAAAAAACAGTCTTTTTTAAGCTGCTCTTAACAAGTAGCCCAAAGCAATCTTTCATACGGAAGCTTAAAAATACTCCAATTGAGTCGAAAGTTACCACTTGCTGAGTTCTTTACACAAAAAAATTATCATGTCAAATTTTAGTCACCTTGAAGCAACTTATAAAAATGATTGATAGTTGACATTCATTTAAAGTACAAGTAGCAGAAAAATTTCAGACACACATAAAGAGACAGTACATTATGTCTAAAGTAGGTGCGCACCATAGAGGTAGAATGAGAGGAGGGAAGATTGATTGAAAAAATGCCTGGTACCGCGCTTTCTACTAGGGTCATAAATGGTTCTTCCAGGTCCTCCGAGAAACTGGTTGTTCCAGTGGCGTGCTCGAAAGCGTTTGCGGGATACTAGGCATAAAACAAAAATAATTTCATAAGAAAGCATATAAAAGCAGCAGCAGCAAATTTACTTGAGTTTTTAATTGGTTAAGATTCGTTGCTACGGTCGTTGTGTTATCTCCACCTTTGCGCAAACCGAGCTAATTCCTACAATAATTAATCACCTAATGATCTTAATATGCATTGTTAATTATGAAAAATATTGTTTTGTTACCTTTTATAATTGTATTTTAATGTACATACACTGACCGGCAAAAAACCTGCCACACTGTAAAATTTCGCGAAACCAAACTTTAGAAATTGTTAATTTAACTAGTGATCGTTGTTTTATTAAAGAACCATTCACTGTTGACACATGGTGTATAAATTAGCAACAAAAAAGAAGACAAATAAACGCAGAATTAAATTTAATTTAACAAAATAACAGAAACAGAGCGACAATTTGGGAGACGTCTGTAAGAGTTAACGGCATTATTTTCGCGTGAAAACGTTTATTAACTTCCAAACTTATAATCAAATGATGAAAAACACTGTTGACAACAACAGCCTCCTTTATTATTTTAATTTTGAAAATATCCTAGTTGGTCTGTTTCTGTTATTTTGTTAAATTAAATTAAATTTTGGGTTTATTTGTCTTCTTTTTTTTTGTTAATTTGTACATCATGTGTCAACAGTTTATAAATAAGGTATGTAGTGCCATTAAAATCATGTATATTTTCAAATTCTATATTTTTTTTCTCGAATTTTCATATCTATATCGTTATTTCCATCTAAGAATTTAATTTATCAATACAACTAAAATTTCCCTAAATACATGCACTCAACTAGATTAGTCTTAACTGTCGTCGTCTTTACTTTTACTAAGATTTTCCAATTCTATGTCACTTTTACCGCTAGTACGTAAAAGAGTTTTGAGAAAAATTTACATATACTCCTATCTTTTTTTGAACTTAAAACGCAATCGAATCAAGTTACATTTACAACAGCGTAACCAAACAAACTTTCTTATTTCCCATGTTATACAATTTATGTCATAGATTTATGTCAATTAACGCTTAAACAATGTCATACAAAATAGAGTTGCAAAGAGCCATATACCAGTTAGTTACCCAAGCATCTAAAAGTGAAATTGTGAATATATTTTGGACCAAATATATTACACGCGCAACTATATACAGAACAATTAAAGACTGCGAGGTAGCAATACCACAATAAGTTTAGAAAGATTAAGAAGAAAGACAAGAGCCTGGAACATCAACAAGAAGATTGGCTCGATTGTTTAGAGTTCTTATATAATAGTTTCTAGAGAAATAGGCAAAAACAACTTAAAATACAGCAAAAGAGCTATATGTTCAAAACATACAGCATCGCAGTTAGAGAGAATTCTTAGATGTTGCCGGCTATTGAGAATTCATCATTTTCTGGACAATCGTGTGGTTGTGCTAGGCGATGAAAAATATTTTACATTTGCCCATTCAGAGATGGAAGGTAACGATGGATTTTATACAAACAATATAGAAGAAATTAAAAGTAAAATTTAAGTCGAAGGCAAAATTTGAAGATAAAATTTTGGTTTGATGGGCTATATCTCCGGCCGGCGTTTCAGCACAATTCATTGGCCGTACTAAAGGTGACGCGGTCAATACATAACAATATATGGTATATGGGAACACCATAATAACGACGATGTAATATTTTGGCTAAATTTAGCAAGTTGCCATTATACTAGAACGTCCAGGGATTGGTTAGAAAGCAATAATATAAGTTTTGTACCTAAGAAAAGGTAATCCCCCCATAGTGCCCCCAGTGCGAACAATCGAAAACAAAATTTGGGGAATACTAAGTAGAAAGGTTTACAACAACGGCTGGGAAGCCAATTTAGAAGAACAATTAAAAAGAACAATTTACCAGACAGTTAGAGAAATGGACGTGGACACCATCCAAAGGCTGTAAGACCTACATATGAAGACAATTTTGCGTCGTATTGAATATAACGAATCTTTATTTGTTTTCCCATTAATAATAATTAATTAAGAAATTAAGCATATTTCTGGGTTCGTTTTGAAATTCAAATAAAATTAAGTTTGACCTTCCTATTATTAATTTAAATTTTTTCTCAAAACGTTTTTTTTTTACGTTAGTTTTCTCGGAAATTAAAAATGTCTCTAATTTTCTTTAAAATATGTTTAAGATTTTGTTTCCTCTGAATTTTAAATTTTCTCTTTTGGACACCACTAACTTTGTATTTTTTGACTGATAATGAAAGTTTAATTATATCTCAAAGAACTCAAAACCAGCATATAGTATGTACTGAATGAACCAAGTTAACAGCAAAAATGACGTGTAAAAACGCACAAAAAATGAGAGATTGGACGAAAAAATGCCCAACTTATGCATTCTTACATAGTAGCAACAATTATCTAACAGCGATAAACATGAACTCAAATTATCACAATTCACGTATCTGTAACAAATACTCCTATATGTATTCGTAATTTATATATTTTTTAAATTTAAATATAAATTAATTAATAATTAACAATAAAATAATAAAAAAATAAATTAATGTCAAATTTTGACTTGATTAGAGTATTTTTAAGCCCTAGTCTGCAAGGTTGTTTTAGGGGTAGTTTTTAACGGTTTCTCCGAACAGGTTGAAATTTTGTATTAACAATCCTCGTATTGAGAAATAAGCAAATATCGAGTTTTAACTAGATTGGAGCATTTTTAACCCCCAGTCTGCAAGGTTGTTTTAGGGGTGATTTTTGAGGGTTTCTCCGAATGGGCTGAAATTTTGCATCAATAATCCTCGTATTGAAAAACTAGGGATTGTCAAAGTTTAACTTGATCAGAGTATTTTTAAGCCCCAGTCTGCAAGATTGTTTTGGGGGTAGTTTTTAACGGTTTCTCCGAACGGGTTGAAATTTTGTGTCAATAATCTTCGTATTGAGAAATAAGCAAATATCGAGTTTTGATTTGATTGAAGTATTTTTTACCCCTAGTCTGCAAGGTTGTTTTGGGGGTAGTTTGTAACGGTTTCTCCGAACGGGTTGAAATTTTGTATTAACAATCTTCGTATTGAGAAATAAGCAAATATCGAGTTTTAACTAGATTGGAGCATTTTTAACCCCCAGTCTGCAAGGTTGTTTTAGGGGTGATTTTTGAGGGTTTCTCCGAATGGGCTGAAATTTTGCATCAATAATCCTCGTATTGAAAAACTAGGGATTGTCAAAGTTTAACTTGATCAGAGTATTTTTAAGCCCCAGTCTGCAAGGTTGTTTTGGGGGTAGTTTTTAACGGTTTCTCCGAACGGGTTAAAATTTTGTGTCAATAATCTTCGTATTGAGAGATAAGCAAATATCGAGTTTTGATTTGATGGAAGCATTTTTTACCCCCAATCTGCAAGGTTGTTTTGGGGATGATTTTTGAGGGTTTCTCCGAATGGGGTGAAATTTTGCATCAATAATCCTTGTATTGAAAAACTAGCGAATGTCAAATTTTGAATTGATTGGAGTATTTTTAAGCCCTAGTCTGCAAGGTTGTTTTAGGGGTAGTTTGTAACGGTTTCTCCGAACGGGTTGAAATTTTGTATTAACAATCTTCGTATTGAGAAATAAGCAAATATCGAGTTTTAACTTGATTGGAGCATTTTTAACCCCCAGTCTGCAAGGTTGTTTTGGGGGTGATTTTTGAGGGTTTCTCGGAATGGGCTGAAATTTTGCATCAATAATCCTCGTATTGAAAAACTAGCGAATGTCAAAATTTAACCTGATTAGAGTATTTTTAAGTGCCAGTCTGCAAGGTTGTTTTGGGGGTAGTTTTTAACGGTTTCTCCGATCGGGTTGAAATTTTGTGTCAATAATCTTCGTATTGAGAAATAAGCAACTGTTGAGTTTCAACTTGATTGGAGCATTTTTAACCCCCAGTCTGCAAGATAAACTGTGGTCTGCAAATTAGAAACGCCTATGAAAACACGCTACGACCTTAAGGGTAACTCAGTAGGATTCCAAGCAGGGGATTTGGTATGGCTTTATAACCCCCGAAGAAGGAAAGGTCATTGTCCGAAGTTGTCACCAGACTGGGAAGGTCCATATACTGTCGAGACGAGAATCAACGATGTCGTTTACAGAATTCGACGAAGGCCGAAGACGAAGATCGTTCATTTAGACCGCCGCATGAAATACAACAGTGACACCGTCGACGTTTCTGATCGGGACGACCTGAACTAAGGAGGGGGCAATGTTACGAAATAAACCCATATGCCACTTCGGTACGACGCCTATGGACCATCGAGAACTTTCTAGGACGGATGGCGAATACCCAATTCGAAATATCCTACCGCCATTAGACGTGTAAATTCTTAATTCTAGTTAGTAAGAAATAAATTGTTGAGTTTTAACCTACGCCGATTTTATTCGCCCGCTCATCGTAACAATATTACGTTGCATATCGTCAAGCGACTTCACCTAATTGCCGTTCGTCACCATTGGACTAACACACATATTTCTCCATTAATTTAGGTGTACGTTTTACCTGAGGTTTTTTTTTATTAGGATAAAACACAATACAATATAAATTGGGAATTTGTTTTATCAAGAGATCCAGCGCGCTGCGCTAGGAGCTTCATCTGTCAGTTAGCAGCCCAAGACGAAGACCGACTGGACGTAGTTGGAAAAAAGATACTTAGCTTAACACGGTAAGTCTTATTTCGTTTTGTTTACACCGTATCAACGAAAATAAAACGAATTAGAATTAGCTGCAAGACTAATTGTTTAGGTGGTACTACTGTACAACTGACAATCTAGCAGCTTACAGGTCTGTCACTTGTCGCTGTCAAAAATTATACAAGCGCATTTTTTTGAGAAGTCCGAAACAATTTTAACACCTAGTAACAAAGAGCGACTGAAGATTATGTTGACAGTGATACCAACTAAACCTTAATAGGCTATATCAGCTCTAATTCATTTTATTTTTCCGATCACATGTACTGTGACTTCAAAATATTTTACAGATCCTCTGCTCAAAAAGACTCTTGGGCCAGTAAACAGTTGTTAGAAGCGTTGAAATATGGAGAGACCGTTTCGCATCCAACTCAATGCATGAAAATGTACAAACTTTGTCCGTACACAAGTCAGACGATGACAACTCTGCTCAAACTCTTCGGCGGCTGAGTTTGATCAACCAATTTTTGTTACTGTTAAAGTATTATTTAAGGATAGGACCAAGTAGTGTTGTTGAATTAGAACTTCAGATACAGCGAGTACAATATAAATAAAACTCGTTTTTCCTGGAGTACGTGTATTTCCAGTCATACATAAATATCAAATAAATAAAAATTTCTTGTCGTTACCACAACCACAAAACATTCGCTTTTAAATTACTACCTACCGAAATAAATAATTCTAATAGGTACGCACCAAATACCGAAATAAATAATTTAGATGTACAACTTTACAAAAACTACCTTATTCACTGGAAGTAAAACTGAAACTCAAATGAAATAATTACTTTTTTTTCTTTCCCTTTTGACCATCTGCAATAGGATTTCCTAACAAACTCGCCAATTTTGTTTTTAATTCGAGTAATTTAGACACTTCCGGTTGCCACTCCGTCTTATTAGCACCCCCTTCTTTTAACTTGCGCACAAGCGACCCCTGCAGAAAGAAAAACATTACTAATTAAGTACAAACCACATGGTACCACTCACTTGTTTGGTCACTTCTTCTTCCAATTTCTTAACTTCCACCGGATCAGCGTTATTTTTACTGTCACCAGAAGGTTTCTGCCCCGCTTGTACTTCTTTTTTTAAATTAGCTAAAAGCATCTCCTCTGCTTGTAATACTTTTTTTTCGGCACCACTGGATTTTAATTTTTTTATTTTATTTTCCTAAACATTAAATATAGTAAAAGGGACAATACAGAAATGTGAAAAAGCTACCTGTTTAACTATTTCCGCCTGTAAAACATTAAGGTCGCTTTTAATCCCGTTTTCTTTAAGAGGGCTGTCACCCCGCTTCCCTGCAAATTTCTTTTTCAATTCTTCGACTCTTGCAGGCTCTAATTTGGCGAATAATGGTGCTGGTTCTCCCAGCTGGTGACCAGTTGGTAGTAACTGTGCTATTTCAATGTTTCTAAAAAAAAATAAATTAATACTAAACTAATAGTCGAGTTGTAACTCACTCTGGTGTGAGAGCTATGTTGGCAATATTTAGCTGCTTCTTAAGTACGTCGCTGGTGTCAGGTAAATACGGGTGAAGCAATGTTGCCAACAAACAAGCAATATTGCAACAAAGCCCTACAACGGTTCCTGCACGAATCCTGAAATTAAATGTAATGCAGCTCTATTTAAATTAAAAAAAAATTAATAAACATACTTGTCTTCGGGGCTTCCTTTGAGAAGTACCCACGGCTGATTCGATTGCATATACTGATTTCCATGGCGAGAAATCGACAGGATGTGCCTAATACCGTCCCTTAATTTCGCTTTCTCAAGACAGCTTATGTAACCTTTTAATTCTCGGGTACATAAAGCTAGGAATGTGAAATCGTCGTCGTTGGGTTTAATTTCAGGCACGGTTTTGTTGAAGTTATTTTTAGCGAAAACTAAAGCTCTGAAGAGACGAAAATGTATTTCAGGTTTTATGACAGTTTCAGCATAAATTACCTATTTATGAAATTACCCAGATTATTTAATAGCTCTGAGTTGTTCTTTGTGGCGAGATCGACCCAGCTGAAGCTCGAGTCTTGAGATTCAGGTCTCACATAAAGTAAGTAGAAACGCCAAACGTCACTTGGTATTCCGGTGTCTCGAGCATCGTTTCCGAAAACGCCCACGCCACGAGATTTCGAAAATTTGCCATCTTCGTAATTCAAGTATTCTGAAAGGCATTGTTAATTTACAGAGTGAACTTTTTTCTAAATATTTTCACTAGAGCAACCGGGGTTCTTCATTTTATGAAACTTAACAAACTCTTTTATAAATTTCCAGTAGATGGCACCAGTTGATTTTTAAAAATAATTATTCGAATAATTCTCAAATCAATCCAGCACCAGGTATTATTCTTATTTTTTGAAGAACAAAATTTGTCAATCTGTTACTTTCAACACTTTTACTGGCTGTCACATAGAACATCACTAAATTTTTGGGTGCGAGTGACATTTTAATGACATTGTTGAGGTTAGTTAGTTGTCAAATTGAGCGCCATCTTTTAGAATATTTACGAAAGGTGCACACAATTGTCAAAAACAGACGTACCAAATATTTATAAATGGTTAATTCTAAAAACAGTCATTACCTGTTGCCATTATATGCGACACTGTAGTATATCCCCTATTCGCCCCCAAAAGACAAGCCGGGAACATTACAGAATGGAAAGGTACATTATCTTTAGCCATAAATTGGTACAACGTTATTTTATAGTCAGGCTTTGGTCTCCACCACTGTTCCCAATTCTCAGTATACGCCTTACTTATCGACATATACCCAATTGGTGCATCAAACCACACATAAAATACTTTATCTTTAAAATCGTTAAGAGGTACGGGAACGCCCCATTTTAAGTCCCTAGTGATACAACGAGGTTTTAAACCTTCCTTCAACCACGTTTTTGCAATAACTTGGGCATTATTTGACCAACCAGGAGCCGACTTTTTCATCCAATGATGTAACAATGGTTCCAACTATAAAACAATCATTAGTTATTAATTAGAACACAAAAAAAAAAAAAACTAAAACCTTTGGCAAATCAATAAAAAACTGTTTTGAAGTTTTCAATTTTGGTGTACTGCTACAAATTTTACACCGAGGGTTTTTGAGTTCAACAGCGTTTACTAGTTTGCCGCAACCGTCACATTGGTCACCACGGGCATCTTCATAGTTACAGCCAATGTGAGGACATCCTCCTTCGACGAATCTATCAGCTAGATAGCGATTGCACTTTTCACAATGTAACTGTTCAACAGGTTCAATAAACATGAAACCATTGCTGTTCAGTTGTAAAAATAAATCTTGGCAGAGTCTAAAATAAAGTAAATAGTGGTGTGACTTTTTACATAGTAGTGATAAAACCTCACTCAGTTTGTTGTGGGGTTGAAGAGCGACCAAAGTAATCAAAACTGATATTAAACCAGTCATAAATATCTTTGTGTATTGTGTAATATTTGTCGCAAATAGCCTGACACGATAATCCTTCTTCCAAAGCTTTAGTTTCAGTGGCTGTTCCATATTCATCGGTACCGGCAATAAAAAGAGTGTTGTGATTACAAACACGACAAAATCTGGCGAAAACGTCAGCGGATAGAACGCAACCAATAATGTTTCCTAAGTGAGGGACGTTATTAACATATGGTAGCGCAGATGTGATTAAAACGTTTTTCTCAGTATTAAGAGGTAATCTGAAAACAACTTATGTATCAAAATGACAATAATCCACAAGTATACTTACACTACTTTTGGCCGAGTTTTTACTTTAGGAATTTCGCCTCCTTTAAACCAAGCCTTTTTAGCGGCTTCTAACTCTTCACTGGTGACAACTTCAGGCTGGTGTTGTGGAGACTGATTACTAACATTTTCAGGTGCAGGGGGCGTCACTAGAGAGTATTTAGCTCCATTAAGTAATGCCTGGTAAGCCACACCCCCTGAAGATATCTTAAAAGTACTTAAAGCGTCCTTTATTTGTTTATTTTGTTCAATATTTTGAATCCAGTTGACTACATTGGAATGTCCACTCAAAAATTCCTTTGATAGCGCGTTATCAATAAAAAGCGGATATAAAGTAGACCAAACCACAACGTCACTTGCGTTCAGCTTATTCTAAAACCTCATTATTAAGAAATTGGCAGTGAATTTAGGTAATTATAGTTACTTCAGTTAGATAAGCACTACTCCCTAAGGTCTTATTTAATTTGTCTAATGAAGAAATGAGACTAGACTTAAGTTTATCGTTCTTGGAGCCAGCTCCAAAAACGTGTGCTAAATTAGGTGCTAAAATTGTCGACTCCCATTCCAACCATTCGCTTGCAACTGTTGCAACTTCCTGTGAAGGTGGCATAAGGAGCCAAACGGCGGCATTTGGTACAAAGATGATCGAATCTTCATTTACCTCCAAATAGGGTAAATGTTTCGGCTCTTGAATAGCTCGATCTGTGCGAATAAAATTAGTCCACGTGTATGCAAATTTGTGGAAAAATGATGCAACTCACCATTAGCGTTAACAACCTTTATATTCACATTCTTCCCGGAGAAATTGGCGGCTATTAATAATTTTAACACCGCAGGGTTATTTTCGTTAGTGTAAATCAACATTTTTGTTAAATTTCTGTGAGGAAATTAGTTTTTGCAGATGATGCACAATTATAACCTTCACACACTGACTTGTTTGACACATGTGGCGATACTTGACACGCATGTCCACCAACCGCGGTTTTCCGTGACGTTTTGGGTGGAATTCCCTAAATTGGCAGGATGTGTGGTGTAGTGTGGCATCTGTCATCTGTATCTATTATATGGCACCTATGTGATGGTAATGTGTATGTGTGGCGTATTGTTGGAACCGCACGTGGTGTAATACTTGCGCAATATTTCTGAAATTGTTCAATTAAAACATAAATTTCATCATTTTCTGGTGCAGTGTTTTTGTGGAAGAGCCGGCATGAAGTTGACTTGCAGCAAAACAAACCCCCTTTTAGGTTAGAATTTTCATTTTATTTGTGGTACAGAAATAGATTTTTTTGTTCTAGGAGGTTTACTAGCAGCTGAACACCTAAAGACTTCGCTGAACTCTATAGTCATCGAATGGGGCGATGAAAACAGTATTGTTAATAATAAAAAAATTATTTGTGAAACCAGTAATGAGTTCTTGAGGGCTGTAGCGAGATTATTTGCGGAGACTGAATTGTATGGTTGCACGCCAATTGAGAAGACGGAAGTTGATCATTGGCTGACCTGTTCACTGACTTTGAAAAACTCCAAAAATGAGTTCGATTCTACTTTATCTTTACTCAACAAGTCTTTGGATGCAGTTACTTTTTTGGCAGGCAAACGGTTAACTATTGCAGATTTTGCAGTTTTTGCAGTTCTTTATAGTGAGTTATGGTCACTAGTTATTTGTACTGTTCTAATTAATTTTTTTAGGTTCACAACTTTGGCAAGATCGAGTTTCAAAAAAAGAAGTACCGGTGAATGTACTAAGGTGGTACAACTTTATTAAGTCACAGCCTGCAGTTTCCAAAACTTTGGAAGCTTTACCTGATGATGTTAAATCAGCTTTGACACCTACTGCTCATAGAATATCCCCAGAGAAGACCAATGTTGGCAACAGAGCCCAAGAGGGTAAATTTGTGGAATTACCGGGGGCGGAAATGGGGAAAGTTGTTGTTAGATTCCCACCTGAAGCATCTGGGTATGTCAGTTTTTCTAACTAGTAGATGTAGAAACTGAAACGTTTTAATTAGTAGAGGTGAAATAGTTTAAGAAGTAACCCTTGAACAGTGGCGTAGGCAAATTCACTTTAAAAAGGATTATTTTTAGAACGACTATATAAAACACTCAGTTTTTTATTTTACAGTATCTTTATGATCTAGCAGTTATTATTTACTTAACAATAGTACATATTTGTAGTTATTGTTTTTTCTGGTAATCAAACAAAATTTTCTGGTTGTAAATGTAGTTTAGAGTGTTATGCTACATTGAATGATCACGAGAAATGTGGGTGTTTAACCTTGCGTCAATTTTACTTTGTTATCGGTGTGGAAATATTTTCTATATTTCCGTTTATTTTTTATGCACGGTTTCTTTCAAAATTTTATATGTCTTCTAACGGAAGATACAATTCAATCTGAAGATTTCCGAATGACTCCTGAAGTCACATAGTCATAAAATTTGGTAATAAACGAAAGTAAAGAAACGAACACAATTCTTAAACAATTTTTACTTTCTGAATGTTATGTGTACAATTTGTTTTTCAGATACCTTCATATTGGTCATGCAAAAGCTGCTTTGCTCAACCAGTATTACCAAGAAGCTTTCCAAGGGAAGCTGGTTATGCGTTTTGATGATACCAACCCTGCCAAGGAAAATCCCCACTTTGAAAAAGTCATATTGGAGGATGTCGCTTTACTAGAAATTAAGCCTGATATGTTTACTCATACCTCCCAGTATTTTGACCTAATGCTTGAATATTGTGAGAAGCTCCTCAAAGAAAATAAAGCCTATGCAGACGATACTGATCCCGAAACAATGAAAACACAGCGTGAACAAAGGATAGAGTCATCAAATAGAAACAACAGTAAGACTTAAATGACAACCTAATTATTTTTTTATATTTCGTTTTTTAAGCGTACGAACAAAATTTGAAGCTTTGGGAAGAAATGAAAAAAGGCACTGAAAAGGGGCAAAAGTGTTGCATTAGAGCTAAAATCGACATGCAGTCGCCAAACGGATGCTTGAGAGATCCCACAATATACAGATGTAAAAATGAGCCACATCCGCGAACAGGCGACAAATACAAGTAATTAATTAAATTCAGAAACACAGTTGAGTCATGTTCTAAATTTAAGGGTTTATCCAACATACGACTTCGCTTGTCCCATCGTCGATGCTATTGAAGGAGTAACCCATACGCTGCGTACCATGGAGTACCATGATCGCGACCCACAATTTTATTGGTTTATTGATGCGTTGGGTTTACGGAAACCTCATATTTGGGAATATAGTAGACTATCAATGACAAATACTGTTCTTAGTAAACGAAAATTGACCTGGTTTGTGAATGAAGGTCTTGTGGATGGATGGTAGTGTGTTTTTATTTTTAGACTTCTGGTATATGTATAAGTTTTTTATTTAAAGGGATGATCCTAGAATGCCAACGGTGCGGGGTGTACTAAGGAGAGGGATGACTGTTCAAGGATTGAAAGAATTTATTATTGCTCAAGGGTCCAGCAGATCAGTGGTCTTCATGGAGTGGGATAAGATTTGGGCTTTTAATAAAAAAGTTATTGATCCAATTGCGCCGCGGTATACAGCTCTCGATTTTGATGATCCAGTGACAATTAATGTGATAGGAGCTAAGGAAGAATGTCTTTCTGTACCTAAACATCCTAAAAACGGTGACGTTGGGATGAAGTCGGTTTGGACTAGTCCAAAGATTATTATAGATAGAGTTGATGCAGATTGTTTGAAAGAAGGAGAAAATGCCACTTTTATTAACTGGGGAAATCTCTTGATAAAGAAAATTAATCGGTGAGTGGGTGCACAAATTTTTAGCGCGACAGTCAGTAAAGTCATTTTTTGTAGAGAAAATAATGTGATTACGTCAATTGAGGCTGAACCAAACCTAGAGAATAAAGACTATAAAAAAACCTTAAAATTGACATGGTTAGCGGTAACAGAGCAAAGTAAATTCACACCAACTTGGTGTGTTTATTTTGATCACATAATTAGTAAACCACTGCTTGGAAAGGATGAAGATTTTAAACAATACATTGGGCATGAAACAAGAGTAAGTTGGAATTTATGAGTGATAAAATTAGTAACATGTGAGTTTGCTTTTGTTAGAAAGAAGTTCAAATGATTGGTGATCCAGAACTGAAAAACCTTAAAAAAGGAGACATAATTCAGCTGCAAAGGCGTGGTTTCTTTAAAGTAGATGTGGCGTATGAACCCGTTAGTTTAATCACCTGTAAAGAACAATCAGTCATTTTGTTTTATATTCCTGACGGTCATACCAAGGAAAGTCCATTTGCGAGTAATACCAAAGCTCCATCACCACCGGTAAGTTCGCATTATTTATTATATCAACCATTTAATAAGGTGACCAGAGAAACAAGTTCAAAGTTACGTTTTGTCTTTATTTCTTTTCAAAGTTACAACATTAGCGGAGGTCGTAAATTACATTTAACTCTCTATAAATCAATAATTAAAACTAAAAACATAGATATCAATAGAGCTTTTTTGTAATGTATTAGATATCGCTCAAACTTTCCACAAATATATTAAATATAGCCTTGTAATTTTTAATATGATGAAAGGTCAGTGAAAATATTCAGTAATCATAGATAATGAAAGATTTTTAACTTTGGGCGGTTTATCATTTAAATATACTTTTCCGTACTACAGTGACTGTTCAACCATCAAATGGTAAGTTCTTGAGACACACTTTATCTGAATTTAATGTTTTATGTGATGTCATTTTGACAAATTTCTAACAAAGTTTGACCACTTTTAAAAGTTTAGCAGTCTGGTTTGATGAAGTTCTTTTTTAATTATTTATCTTTTGTAAATTCTTCAGCTAAAATTTCATGAATTCGGGATAAAAAAAATTAACTACTATTGTAAAAAATAATAATTTATTTAAAAATCAGTCTTTGTACAGCTACAACTGTGAATAGAAATTGTTTTACAATACAACATCTAAAGTCTTATATAAAAACTAGAAGAAGGAATTACTATTTTTATATAGTATTTAGTCGACTTCCTCAACTGTGGGTCCACCTTGCCTCTGTCCACCAAATCCACCAGCCTGCTGACCACAGCTACCCGGCATGGGACCACTCTGGGCAGCTCCTTGGTAGAGTTTTGCCATAATGGGACTACATACAGAAGTCAGTTGTTTCTGTCTGTCTTCGTACTCTTCTTTCTCCGCCAATGTGTTGGCATCTAACCATTGCAAACAACTGTCGCATTCGCGTTTCACAGTTTCCTTATCTGAAGACGCCAACTTGTCACCACAGTCGGATACAGCTTGCTTCACCTGGAAAATGTAACCTTCCAATTGATTTCTACTAGCTATCCTCTGCCTTTGTTTCTCATCCTCGTCTTTGTATTGTTCTGCTTCTGCAACCATTCTGTCGATGTCTTTCTGCGATAATCTTCCTTTGTCATTTTCAATGGTGATATTTCGAGAATTTCCAGAACTCGTGTCTGGCAGAAACGTTAAGGATGCCGTTAGCGTCCAGGTCGAACGTCACTTCGATCTTAGGAACACCACGCGGTGCTGGTGGAATTCCTGTCAGATCGAAGGTTCCCAACAAATTATTGTCCTTCGTCATGGCCCTTTCACCCTCGAAGACTCGAATTGTGACGGCTGGTTGGTTAGCAGCGTAGGTGGTGAATGTTTGCGTCTGTTTGCAGGGAATTCTTGCATTGCGTTCGATGATTTTCGTCATGACTCCTCCAGCTGTTTCGATACCCAGAGACAAAGGAGTGACATCGACCAGTAACACGTCTTGAATCTTGGAATCAGATTCTCCATTCAAAACGGCCGCTTGAACGGCGGCACCATAAGCCACAGCTTCATCCGGATTGATGGAAAGATTCAACGGTTTTCCGTTGAAGTAGTTCTGGAGTAGTTGCTGGATTTTGGGGATGCGTGTCGATCCACCCACTAAGACGATGTCGTGGATCATTCCTTTGTCCATTTTTGCGTCGTTGAGGGCTTTCTCGACGGGTTCCAGGGTTCCTCTGAACAAGTCTGCGTTCAGTTCTTCGAATCTGGCTCTGCTAAGTTTCGTGTAGAAATCGATTCCGTCGAAGAGGGCGTCGATCTCGATGCTGGCTTCAGTGCTCGAAGATAACGTTCGTTTCGCTCTTTCAGCGGCGGTTCGTAAACGCCGAAGGGCTCTTGGATTACTTCTCAGATCCTTCTTGAATTTACGTTTGAATTCGTCGGCCAAGTGACTCACTAATCTGTTGTCGAAGTCTTCACCACCTAGGTGGGTATCACCTGCAGTGGCTCTCACTTCAAACAACGACCCTTCGTCGATGGTCAGAATGGATACGTCGAATGTACCACCGCCCAAATCAAAAATTAAAACGTTCCTCTCACCCTTCAAATTCTTATCCAATCCGTACGCCAAAGCTGCCGCCGTGGGTTCGTTAATAATCCTTATCACGTTTAAACCGGCGATAACTCCGGCATCTTTGGTAGCTTGTCTTTGCGAATCGTTGAAATATGCAGGGACAGTAATGACGGCATCCCTCACTGTTGTTCCCAAATACGCTTCAGCGGTTTCCTTCATTTTCGTCAAAACCATCGAGCTGATTTCTTCGGGTGAGAACTTTTTAATTTCGCCTTTGTATTCGACTTGCATTTTCGGCTTCCCACAGTCGTTGATTACTTTGAAAGGCCAGTGTTTCAGATCTTGTTGAATTTTCTGGTCGTCATATTTTCGGCCGATTAATCGTTTGGCATCGAAGATCGTATTGCTGGGGTTCATGGCAACTTGGTTCTTGGCGGCGTCTCCGAGGAGGCGCTCGGTGTCGGTGAAGGCAACATAACTTGGTGTCGTTCTGTTACCTTGATCGTTGGCGATGATCTCGACTTTTCCGTGTTGCCATACTCCGACGCAGGAGTAGGTTGTTCCCAAGTCGATACCGATGGCTGGAGATTTCACCATTTTGTCACTGTTTATTTTCTTTTGCGATAAAAATTCACTTATGGACACTTTTACAACTTAACTTGAAGATATAAAGTCGCCTTGTACTCTTGTTCACTTTTCAGGTACTCCTTTTCTCGTCGCTCGATTTGAATGAACTGAATACGCGCCACGAGCGATCGTTTATATATGAACGACCGATTTCGTCGCGAATTCTCCCGAATGTTCTCGAATATTCTATGAAGTTCTGGCACCTTCCGGATGAAATAAACTAATAATTTTTGCGAAAACAATAATTATTGACAATCTACACAAAAGAAGAAAATTTTAACTGTTGGACACCATATTTTAGACCTTAAAAAATTGACTTTATGACGTTAAATTTTAAAGAACAGATTTCTTCACAGTGCGAAAGTTCTCCGAGATTCTCGAATGTTCTTGAATGTTCGCTCAACTTATTTATTTGATACATTGAAATAAAGGAACTGTTGTGCCAAAAACGAGCAATTATACGTAAATTACAAAAAATGAGTAGGTACATATTCATAAAAAGTCTTGTTTTAATATTTTTGAATTGTGTTACTGTACATAATTTAAACTCTCGCATGAACTGAACATGTTCTATTTTTTAAATTAATAATAAATTTTCATTAGTCAAATACCTTAACGTAACATCAAACGTAACAACGCTATTTTTGTGTGTCGAACGTTTTGCCAAATATTATTTCAAGTGTGAATTATGTAATTCACATTTTTTACAATTTGACTGCATGGCAGTCCGCATTTTTTTATAGATAGTATAAAAAATTGTATACATTTTAGAACTTCTCGTCTTTGTGACTAATTTAAACAACGTGCTTAAAAATGTTGTATTTTTGTTATTAAAAAAATTTTAAGGATAAAAGTAATACACTATAATTTTTCTATTATTATCATCATCTAATACACGGGTACCATTCTCTTAAATTTTGTAGTCTAATGGATAGTATAATTAATATTTGCCAAAGTACTAACCCGAAATAAATAGAACATTCGAGAACGTGAAGGAATATTAAGAAAGAATAATCATCCATATTTTAAAGTTCAAAAATATCATATTTTTGGTTGCATTTGTACAACACTACCTTGTTATTCATTTATTTAAATTAATTTTTAGATTGTTGTTTCTTTATTAAATCAAGAAACACATATAGCACAAATATGCTTTGAAGATCATTATCTTAAGACTTATTATTACATCTAATAAAATAATAAATTCTAGAAAATAGAGTAAAATTCTGCCAGTATAATAGGAAGGTTCGAGAAGTTTCTACTCCATTTAAAACACCGCAACATAATTTTTTTAATGTGAAGACAGACAGTTACTGTTCGAACATTCCAAAGGAAAGCATTAGTAGAACATTCGAGAGTTTTCGAAATAATTCCGAACAGCACAATGCAGGGTTTATGATTTGCATAAGGAATCAGAATATGAGTGTAAAACTTTTTGTAAAGTATATTTTGCATCAAATTGAAAAACGTGCCAGTTCAAATAACTGTTAAAAAATATGAACAAGAATTTTTTTCTAAAATTCAAAGAAAAAATATATAAAGTAAAACCCACAAAACCTTTTTTTATTTTGTCTGATTTGATAATAATTTTGTATAAATAATTTTAACAATGTAATCTAATCGTGGTAGAAGGTTCTAGATAAAATGGTGCATTAATGTTAATAATATTTTCCAGAAATTTTCCAGTACCATCAGCAGTTAATTAATTCACTGGCAGTTGTTTTTGACATGAATTAATCTAATCAATGACAATAAAATATTGCGAAAATTCGGGAAATTAATTGATATCACAAGGAAACCGAATATTATCAAACAATTTTGTAAGTTTAATGTTTTTTTGGTTCAAAAAAAGCGAATAATAAATTAGAAATTTTATCAAGAGTTAAACGCTAAAAATAATACATTTTCCTTTGTAATAATAAAAAATATGTTAACAGTTAAAGTGGGAGTATTAGATAAGATACCACTCAAAGTTTTTGGAAATGTAGTAAATATACTCTTGCAATTTTTAGTATGATGTAAGGTCAGTCAAAGTATTCAGCAATCATAGATAATGAGATTTTTTACTTTGTGCAGTTTATCATTTAAATATATTTCTCCACACCACAGTTACTGTTCAATCATCAAATGTTAAGTTCTTGAGACACACTTTATCTGAATTGTTTCATGTTAAATCATTTTGACAAATTTTTAAGAAAATTTGAGCACTTTCGAACGTTTAGGAGTGTGGTTTGATGTTTTTTTTTATTATTATTTTTCTTTTGTAGTAAATTCTTCAGCAAAAATTTTACAATGAGTTCGGGATAAAACAATTAACTATTGTGTGTAAAAAATAATAATTTATTTAAAAATCAGTCATTGTACAGCTACTATTGTGAACAGAAATTGTTTTACAATAGAATATGTAAGGTATTATATAAAAACTAGAAGAAGGAATCACTATTTTTATACATTTAGTCAACTTCTTCAATTGTGGGTCCACCTTGCCTCTGTCCACCAAATCCACCAGCCTGCTGACCACAGCTACCCGGCATGGGACCACCCTGGGCAGCTCCTTGGTAGAGTTTTGCCATAATGGGACTACACACAGAAGTCAGTTGTTTCTGTCTGTCTTCATACTCTTCTTTCTCCGCCAATGTGTTGGTGTCCAACCATTGCAAACAACTGTCGCACTCGCGTGTCACAGTTTCTTTATCTGAAGCCGACAACTTGTCACCGCAGTCGGATACAGCTTGCTTCAGCTGGAAGATGTAACCTTCCAATTGATTTCTACTAGCTATCCTCTGCCTTTGTTTCTCATCCTCGTCTTTGTATTGTTCTGCTTCTGCAACCATTCTATCGATGTCTTTCTGCGATAATCTTCCTTTGTCATTTTTAATGGTGATATTTCGAGAATTTCCGGAACTCGTGTCTTTGGCAGAAACGTTAAGGATGCCGTTACCGTCTAGATCGAACGTCACTTCGATCTTAGGAACACCACGCGGTGCTGGTGGAATTCCCGTCAGATCGAAGGTTCCCAACAGGTTATTGTCCTTCGTCATGGCCCTTTCGCCCTCAAAGACTCGAATCGTGACGGCTGGTTGGTTATCAGCGTAGGTGGTGAATGTTTGTGTCTGTTTGCAGGGAATTCTTGCATTGCGTTCGATGATTTTCGTCATGACTCCTCCAGCTGTTTCGATACCCAGAGACAAGGGAGTGACGTCGACCAGTAAAACGTCTTGAATCTTGGAATCGGATTCTCCATTCAAAACGGCTGCTTGAACGGCGGCACCATAAGCTACAGCTTCGTCCGGATTGATGGAAAGATTCAACGGTTTTCCGTTGAAGTAGTTCTGGAGTAGTTGTTGAATTTTGGGAATGCGTGTCGATCCACCGACTAAGACGATGTCGTGGATCATTCCTTTGTCCATTTTTGCGTCGTTGAGGGCTTTCTCGACGGGTTCCAGAGTTCCTCTGAACAAGTCTGCGTTCAGTTCTTCGAATCTCGCTCTGCTAAGTTTCGTGTAGAAATCGATTCCGTCGAAGAGGGCGTCGATCTCGATGCTGGCTTCAGTACTCGAAGACAACGTTCGTTTCGCTCTTTCAGCGGCGGTTCGTAAACGCCGAAGAGCTCTTGGATTACTTCTCAGATCCTTCTTGAATTTACGTTTGAATTCGTCGGCCAAGTGACTCACTAATCTGTTGTCGAAGTCTTCACCACCTAGGTGAGTATCACCTGCAGTGGCTCTCACTTCAAACAACGACCCTTCGTCGATGGTCAGAATGGATACGTCGAATGTACCACCGCCCAAATCAAAAATTAAAACGTTCCTCTCACCCTTCAAATTCTTATCCAATCCGTACGCCAAAGCTGCCGCCGTGGGTTCGTTAATAATCCTCATCACGTTTAAACCGGCGATAACTCCGGCATCTTTGGTAGCTTGTCTTTGCGAATCGTTGAAATATGCAGGGACAGTAATGACGGCATCCCTCACTGTTGTTCCCAAATACGCTTCAGCAGTTTCCTTCATTTTCGTCAAAACCATCGAGCTGATTTCTTCGGGTGAGAACTTTTTACTTTCGCCTTTGTATTCGACTTGCATTTTCGGCTTCCCATAGTCGTTGATTACTTTGAAAGGCCAGTGTTTCAGATCTTGTTGAATTTTCTGGTCGTCATATTTTCGGCCGATTAGTCGTTTGGCGTCGAATATCGTATTGCTGGGATTCATCGCAACTTGGTTCTTGGCGGCGTCTCCGAGGAGACGCTCGGTGTCGGTGAAGGCAACATAACTTGGTGTCGTTCTGTTACCTTGATCGTTGGCGATGATCTCAACTTTTCCGTGTTGCCACACTCCTACACAGGAGTAGGTTGTTCCCAGGTCGATACCGATGGCTGGAGATTTCACCATTTTGTCACTGTTTATTTTCTTTTGCGATAAAAATTCACTTATGGACACTTTTACAACTTAACTTGATGATATAAAGTCGTTGTGTACTCTTGCTCACTTTTCAGGTAGTTGTTTTCTCGTCGCTTGATTTGAATGAACTGAATACGCGCCAGATGCGATCGTTTATATATGAACGGATAGTTTCGTCGCGAATTCGCCCGAATGTTCTCGAATATTCTATGAAGTTCTGGCATAATCGACGAAATAAACTAATAATTTTTGTCGAAAACAATAAATATTGACAATCCACACAAAAGAAGAAAATACTAACTGCTGTACACCTTACTTTAGACTCTAAAAAATTGACGTTATCGCGTTAAATTTTAAAGAGCGAGCTTCTTTACATCATCTTCCCAGTGAGAAAGTTCTCCGAGATTCTCGAATGTTCGGTCAACTTATGTATTTGATACATTGCATTAAACGAACTTTTTTGTTAAAACCCCAATTATACGTAAATTACAAACAATAGATATTCATAAAAAGTCGTATTTTAATGTTTTCGGGTTGTGTTACTGTAATTTTAATTTTCACATGAACGTGTATTTTTTAAGTTAAGAGTAAATTTTCACTATTTTAAGGTAAACGAATAATCGAGTCAAATACATTAACGTAGCTTCCAACGTAACAAACGTAACAATGCTATTTTTGTATGAACGTTTTGCCAAATATTATTTCAAGTGTGAATTACCTAATTCACATTTTTACATTTTTACTGCATGGTAGTCCACACTTTTTTATAGATAGTATACAAAATTGTGTACAGTTTAGAACTTCTCGCTTTGTGACTAATTTAAACAACGTCCTTAAAAATGTTGTATTTTTGTAATAAAAAAGTTTTGAGGACAAAAGTAATATTTACACTATAACCAAATATGCTTTGAAGATCTTAAAACTTACGATTACATCTAATAAAATAAATTCTATAAAATAGAGTAAAATTCTGTTGATAAAATTAGAAGCTTCGAGAACTTTCTACTCCATTTTAAAATTCCGCAACATAATTGACAGTTACTGTTCCAACGTTCTAAAGGAAAGCACATCATTTTTTTATAAGGAACAAGGAATAAGGAATTAATGAATCAGAATATGAATTAAAACTGTTTGTAAAATATATTTTGCATCAAACTGAATAACGTACCAGTTAAAAAAAAACTAATAAAAAAATTAACAAGTATTTTGTCTGATTTGGTAATTTTTGTATAAATAATTTTAACAAACTATTGTAATCGTGGTGGAAGCTTCCAGATAAAATGGTGCGTTAATGTTAAACAATAATATTTTCCAGAATTTTTCCAGTACTTTCAGCAGTTAATTGATTCGTTGGTAGTTGTTTTTGATGTGAATTAATCTAATCAATGAAATATATTGCGACAATTACTGTTGAATAAATAAATCGGATAATTAGGAAAATTCGAGAAATATCTAATTGATATCACAAGGAAATCGAATATTAGAAAAAAAATTGTAAGAATAATGCTTTATTTCCTTCAACAAAAAGCAAATAATAGATTGGAAAAATTTATCAACAATTAAACGCAAAAAATAATAAATAAAGATGAATTTTAAATAAGAAAATACTTTGGTAGAAGTCGGCATTTCGCGAACATTCCCACCTTGGAACGAATTTAACGCAACACGGATTTTAAAATTTAACGTCGTAAAGTCAATTTATTAACATCCAAAATTTGGTGAATACCAGTTAATATTTTTTTCTTTTATGTAGACTGTCAATAATTACCGTTTTCAACAGAAAATATTCGTTTATTTCGTTAGGAAGGTGCCAGAAGTTGATAGAATATTCGAGAGCATTCGGGAGAATTCGAGACGAAATCGTATGTTCATATATAAACGATCGCTCGTGGCGCGTGTTCAGTCAATTCAAACCAAGCGACAAGAAAACAACTACCTGAAAAGTGAACAAGAGTGCACGGCAACTTTATATCTTCAAGTTAAGTTGTAAAAGTGTCCATAAGTGAATTTTTATCGCAAAAGAAAATAAACAGTGACAAAATGGTGAAATCTCCAGCCATCGGTATCGACCTGGGAACAACCTACTCCTGTGTAGGAGTGTGGCAACACGGAAAAGTCGAGATCATCGCCAACGATCAAGGTAACAGAACGACGCCAAGTTATGTTGCCTTCACCGACACCGAGCGTCTCCTCGGAGACGCCGCCAAGAACCAAGTTGCGATGAATCCCAGCAATACGATATTCGACGCCAAACGACTAATCGGCCGAAAATATGACGACCAGAAAATTCAACAAGATCTGAAACACTGGCCTTTCAAAGTAATTAACGACTGTGGGAAGCCGAAAATGCAAGTCGAATACAAAGGCGAAATTAAAAAGTTCTCACCCGAAGAAATCAGCTCGATGGTTTTGACGAAAATGAAGGAAACCGCTGAAGCGTATTTAGGAACAACAGTGAGGGATGCCGTCATTACTGTCCCTGCATATTTCAACGATTCGCAAAGACAGGCCACCAAAGACGCCGGAGTTATCGCCGGTTTGAACGTAATGAGAATTATTAACGAACCCACAGCGGCAGCTTTGGCGTACGGATTGGATAAGAATTTGAAGGGTGAGAGGAACGTTTTAATTTTTGATTTGGGCGGTGGTACATTCGACGTATCTATTCTAACCATCGACGAAGGGTCGTTGTTTGAAGTGAGAGCCACTGCAGGTGATACCCATCTAGGTGGTGAAGACTTCGACAACAGATTAGTAAGTCACTTGGCCGACGAATTCAAACGCAAATTCAAGAAGGATTTGAGAAGCAATCCAAGAGCCCTCCGGCGTTTACGAACCGCCGCTGAAAGAGCGAAACGAACGTTGTCTTCGAGTACTGAAGCCAGCATCGAGATCGACGCCCTTTTCGACGGAATCGATTTCTACACGAAACTTAGCAGAGCGAGATTCGAAGAACTGAACGCAGACTTGTTCAGAGGAACTCTGGAACCCGTCGAGAAAGCCCTCAACGACGCAAAAATGGACAAAGGAATGATCCACGACATCGTCTTAGTCGGTGGATCGACACGCATTCCCAAAATCCAGCAACTACTCCAGAACTACTTCAACGGAAAACCGTTGAATCTTTCCATCAACCCGGATGAAGCTGTGGCTTATGGTGCCGCCGTTCAAGCAGCCGTTTTGAATGGAGAATCCGATTCCAAGATTCAAGACGTGTTACTGGTCGACGTCACTCCTTTGTCTCTGGGTATCGAAACAGCTGGAGGAGTCATGACGAAAATCATCGAACGCAATGCAAGAATTCCCTGCAAACAGACGCAAACATTCACCACCTACGCTGATAACCAACCAGCCGTTACGATTCAAGTCTTCGAGGGTGAAAGAGCCATGACGAGGGACAATAATATGTTGGGAACCTTCGATTTGACGGGAATTCCTCCAGCACCGCGTGGTGTTCCTAAAATCGAACTGACTTTCGACCTGGACGCTAACGGCATTCTTAACGTTTCTGCCAAAGACACGAGTTCCGGAAATTCTCGCAACATCACCATCAAGAATGACAAAGGTAGATTGTCGCAGAAAGACATCGACAGAATGGTTGCAGAAGCAGAACAATACAAAGACGAGGATGAGAAACAAAGGCAGAGGATAGCTAGTAGAAATCAACTGGAAGGTTACATCTTCCAACTGAAGCAAGCTGTATCCGACTGCGGTGACAAGTTGTCAACTTCAGATAAAGAAACTGTGACACGCGAATGCGACAGTTGTTTGCAATGGTTGGATACCAACACATTGGCGGAGAAAGAAGAGTATAAAGACAGACAGAAACAACTGACTTCTGTTTGTAGTCCTATTATGGCAAAACTCTACCAAGGAGCTGCCCAGGGTGGTCCCATGCCGGGTAACTGTGGTCAGCAAGCTGGTGGATTTGGTGGACAGAGGCAAGGTGGACCCACAGTTGAAGAAGTTGATTAAATTAAGACAGTTTGTCGTAGTTTTTTAGTTTAGTTGTTTTTTTCTATAAGTATGCTGTTGTTAAAGAAATTCTTTTTTTTAGTCAGTAGTGGCTGTACAAGATGTGATATTTTTTTAATAATATATTATTTTTTATATTACTGTGTTTTATTGTTTATAATAAAATAAATAAGTTTAAAAGCGTTGAAAATTCTTGTTAAATTGTACGTTATCATAACGTTTCATAGCTTGTGGGTTATAGAAATTAATGAATAAATGACTATTTTCTTCAATATTTCTAACAACACTATTCTTTGAAGAATTGTAAACTGGCCTACTTTTTATATAATAACCCGGTCGAAGCGATTTCTTTCAAAGAGAAAGTCAAATCTTGTCTACTCGTGAATCACGTATGCGGTTCTTCATTTTTCAGTTCTTTTCAATCTGGATACCTGTCACATTTTTCACTATAAACTGTACAATCTTAAAAAAAAACTACATTAATCGCCAGTTGTTATCTTTATAGTTAATACTTTCCACAGACTATAATCAAACAATTAGTGTTCCATAAAACCTCCACGTGTTGCCAACTCGTGTTATTTTCAGGCCGAAAAATCCACAACTAGTACCCCACCAGTTGCCCAAACCGCCAAATCAGCAGCTGAACTTAACACCGAAATTATAAAACAAGGTGATGTAGTGCGAAATTTAAAGTCCCAAAAAGCAGCAAAGAGCGAAGTCGACAACGCCGTGAAAATTCTTCTAACTTTAAAAACTGATTATAAGAAAATAACGAACACCGATTGGAAACCGGGGTGTGTGCCACCAGCTGAAACTCCTGCGTCACCAAACGCGACGGATGTTGACGATGATTTAAACGCAAAACTGTCGTCACAAGCCGATAAGGTACAACTTCTTTTGTTATTGCAAGAACTTACCAACCTACGTTTTAGGTCCGTAAACTCAAGTCCGAAAAAGCCGAAAAAAGCGTAGTTGATATTGAAGTTAAAGTTCTGCTAGCTCTTAAGCAGGAATACAAGAAGAAATTTGGGGTGGATTGGGTTGCAGGTGCTCCTGCAGTAAAAGCAACCCCTAGTAAAGTCGAAATTTCTGACGCTGGAAGTTTAGGTGATAAGATTGCAGCACAGGGAGATAAGGTATGATTTTTGTTATAGTGTTATATTTTTACCCATTTGTATACCGTAGGTGCGAAAATTAAAATCTGAGAAAGCGGACAAAAGTGTGATAGATCTTGAAGTGAAAGCCCTCCTAGCCTTAAAACAAGAATATAAACAACAATTTGGTAAAGATTGGGTGGCACAGCCAGTCTCTAAAACACCACAGCCTGCAGCAAACAATACCGCGTCCACTAAAACGGAGGCAGAATTGCTTGAAGCAATCGCTAAACAAGGGGATGTTGTTAGACAACTAAAAACAAACAAAGCTGCAAAAAGTGAAGTAGATCGCGAAGTTAAAGTTTTGCTGCAGTTGAAAGTCGATTTTAAGAATCTTACTGGAAAAGAGTGGAAGCCCAACATGAAACCAGAAGTTAATAACGTTTCAGTAAATGGAGGAAGTGGAGACGTTTCTGCTTCCAAAGATATCCTAGTTGCTAAAGTTACGGAACAAGGAAATGTTGTACGAGACTTGAAAGCCAAGAAAGCTGCCAAAGTATACAAAACTTTGTTTTTTTTTTTCAATTTGTGTTATGTGAAAATTTCAGGATGAAATCGATGCAGCCGTTAAAGTTCTTCTGGATTTAAAAGTTGAATATAAAGCTCTGACTGGGACTGACTTTCCAGTAGCTGGAAGAACTCCATCTAAACCCAAAGAACCACAACCAAAAAGTGCAAAGGAAAAATCTGCTCCAAAAGAGAAGAAAGCTGCTGTTGTTCCAGCACCAGTAATTAATCCACACGCTATCATCATTTGAAATTGTAACAACTTTGTTGTAGTCCGACGAAAGCGGCGTGAAAAAACAAACACGTTTAGGTTTGGAGGCCAAAAAAGAGGAAAACTTGGCCGACTGGTACTCCCAAGTTATCACCAAAAGCGAGATGATTGAATATTATGACGTTTCGGGTTGCTATATATTCAGACCATGGTCTTTTGCAGTGTGGAAGGTTATTAAAGAGTGGTTTACAAGCGAAATTGATAAACTAGGTGTAGAAGAGTGTTACTTCCCGATTTTCGTTTCACGAAATGTTTTGGAGAAGGAAAAAACACATATTGCCGATTTCGCTCCTGAAGTTGCTTGGGTGACGAAATCGGGTGACTCGGATCTCGCAGAACCCATTGCTGTAAGACCAACGTCGGAAACTGTCATGTACCCAGCTTACGCTAAATGGATACAGTCTTACCGAGATTTACCCATCAAACTGAACCAATGGAACAATGTAGTGGTATGTTGGTGATTTTAATCGTAGTTTTGTATCTTATGAGGTTGTTTAGAGGTGGGAGTTCAAACATCCACAACCATTTTTAAGAACTAGAGAGTTCTTGTGGCAAGAAGGTCACACAGCTTACGCTTCTCAGGAGGAGGCTTGTAATGAAGTCAAAACTATATTAGGTAAGCGAGTTTACTGTCAGTTTTGATTACACCAATTGATATTAAATATCTGACTTCAGATTTATATGCGAGGATCTACACCGACATATTAGCAATCCCAGTCGTGAAAGGTCGTAAAACCGAGAAAGAAAAGTTTGCTGGAGGTAACTACACACTAACCGTTGAAGCTTTTGTTTCCGCAAGCGGCAGGGCAATTCAAGGAGCGACGTCCCATCATTTGGGACAAAACTTTTCAAGAATGTTTGAAATAGTGTATGAGGACCCAGAAACGCAAGAGAAGAAATACGTTTATCAAAATTCGTGGGGTCTCACTACGAGAACAATAGGTTAAGACGACTGTGTGATTTTTGATTGATCTAATTAAGTACTTTTTTAGGTGTCATGATTATGATACATGCCGATAATAAAGGTCTGGTTTTGCCCCCTAGAGCGGCGTGTATTCAAGTCATCATTGTACCCTGTGGAATTACTGTAGCGTTGTCAGACCAAGGAAAAAATCAACTTCAGTCTTCCTGTGATGCTTTGGAAGCAGAGCTTGCTAAAGCAGGTGTTAAAGTTAAAGGCGATTATCGTGGCAATTATTCTCCAGGTTGGAAATTTAACCACTGGGAATTGAAGGTAAACAATTATGGCGATTTTTTCAGAATAATTTTTAAATTCGTTTTGTTCAGGGGGTACCTATACGTGTGGAGCTTGGACCCAAAGATATCGAAAAGCGACAAATCGTTGCTGTGAGAAGAGACACCGGTGAGAAAATAACATTGTCGCGGGATTCCGCAGCGGAAAAGTTGAAACATTTATTGGATGATATTCAAACCAATCTGTTACAAAAGGCTACCAACGATTTGAATAGTCACACTGTTTTGTTGAAAGATTGGTCCCAATTTGCCGTTAATTTGGATAAGAAAAATATAATTTTAGCTCTATTTTGTGGCGACGAGAATTGCGAGAATAAGATTAAAGCAGACAGCACTCGGTATGATTTTTTTTAGTCGTAGATTTTTTGTATTATTTTTTAATTTTTAGTGACGACGGTGATGGTGCTGAACCTGGGGCGCCTTCCATGGGTGCCAAGTCTCTGTGTATACCATTAGAACAACCTGAAGCTGTCAAAGATGGTGATAAATGTATCCATCCAGATTGTACAAGGAAGCCAATGGCATATACTTTGTTTGGTCGAAGTTATTAAACTGCCTGTTTGCAGCGTGTTGGAATAACTTTTTACACAATAAATAATAATAATTATTGGGATTATTTATTTATTTAAAAGTCAACAAGGGTTAAAATTTACATAGAACTTTTTACAGATTTACTAGCTTTGTTTAGTGTCTCAATCTTTTCAATTTCTGCTGCTCGTAATTTTTTTAGTTCCTCCTACAAAATTTATATTGTTTTGTGTTTTCACCTAAAACGATTACTTACCCCCCAGCCCAATTTATCAGCAAAAAGTTGGCACCCTTCATCACAATCTCCCAACCAGGCAACATCTCTAGTGTTGTTTTTGCCATCAAAATCTAACCCACCACCAAGTCCTAGCATTGCCATTATGCCTGATCTGTGCCCTACTTTTTCACGGTTTATTAAGAGTCGTGGGCATGTATCTGGAACTCTGAGCACCAAATCACATCCATTTTTTTTTTTAACTAACTATAATCTTACCGTTCTACAAGTGAAGCAAAAGGTTGTACTGCTAGGGAAGACCCCAATATAATGAGTAAATCACAGTTTTCAAAGTCGTGTTCTATTAAGTTATAGAACTTGAATGGCAACTGTTCACCAAAGAAAACTATGTCTGGTTTAACAACCCCTTTACAGTCTTCTTCCACACATTCTGGGACTTCATCTTTAAAGATGCGCTCTAAAACAATGGGTTAGAAAGACCAGAGAGTTGCAGTAGGCTAACCTTTCATCCACTCCAATGTGTACTCTTTTCTACATTTTATACAATGACCGGTATAAAAGGTTCCATGGGCTTCCACAATTTTGTCATCTGGGATACCAGCCACCCTTTCCAGAGTATCAATATTTTGCGAATAATGTCTAAGCAGAACACCTTTTTCAATTAATAATTTAATAAAGTAATGACAAATTGTGGGTTTGAAAGAGCCAGGGTACAACTCTTTAGCCAAAGCGAAAAATGGCTTAGGGTTCTCATGAAAAAAGCTCAGTTCAAAAATTGCTTGTGGATGGGGCAAGTTATATTTTTGCAAATTGTGGTAGAGACCACTTCCAGGTGAGCGAAAATCTGGGATTCCAGCAGCTAAAACGACAACTTATTGTTAAAAGTTTGGAAAATACCAATACTTACAGGTTGAAATGCCAGCTCCCGCCATTGTCACTATATTTTTGCATTTATTTTTATTAATGTAGTCTACGACCCCATCGAGCGTTACCGCATCAAGCACTTTGACAGTCTTTTCTTCATCTTTGTCTTTGTCAGATATACCAAGTTTTTCTGAGAGGTACTTTCGTAAAGACTCAATACTCATGTCGGATGTTCCAGAGGCGGTATCTTCTGCTGCACTTTCCTGTTCTTCTTTCTCTTTGGGTGATACTCCTACTTTGTTTAATAATCAATCAATTTGGAAAATATGAAATTTGTTACCTTCTGCCTTTTCTCCAGACATTTTGAATATTTTTTTATATAAATTCTTCGAGGAATTTAAAAGGGCTTGCAGCTTTTTTGACATGCACTAGTTAGAAAAGTTTATTTAAAACACTGTACGTACAACAAATCTATCATTTTTCACGTATCATGTTGACAAATTCTGTCAATTCACCTGTGTCGTTTGACGTTTGCTCTACATCAAATCACAACATAACGATCACAACACCTGTCGTCAAAAAAATAATCTGCGCATGCGCTTAAAATTTCTATGGTTTTGCGCAGAACTCTGCGCATTATCACACAGAAAGCAAAGAGTGTGGCATTTTTGAAATTTTTTGGAACATTTTGGTATTATATCGACTTTTTTCATAAGGTTCATGGAGTCTTATCAGTTTAATCTTAGTACTACATAAACACATCTTTTTTGTGGACTTCATATTTAATGTAAAACGTCCACATACTCTTTTAAATAAGTGTAAGTCCTCATCAATTCGAAAACATACATTTTGAAGACGAAAAAAAAACCCAAGTGATATATACCAATTTTCTTTCGAAAAAGTATTACAGTAGCATTGTTTCAGTTTTGTTAAATCACGAAAAGAAGTCTTCATCACATTATTTTTGTCGTAATTTGGAAAACATTTCTGAATTGTTGACTTATCAGCACATTTAATCATCGTCTTCAACTCCCTGTGCAAGAACAGATAGTAGTGAATATTCAAATGCTAATTTAATGTTACAAAGTATTTTATCATAAATATTTTATTTACACAAAAATTCTTTGCTTCTGAGGCGCAACAAATACAAAAACATGCCAGGGTGTATGTCATATTTTATTTATCAATTTTGAAAAAAATGTTGGAATTTTCGAAAAACTGAAGCCGAAAATCACTTTTACAAGTCAAAATTTATAAGAAAATGTCTTCAGGTTTTTGCGAAGGGTGTTGAGAAATATTCAATAATTTGATACAGGGGCGATTGAAAAATTGAGATTTTGGAAAAGTTACGTAAAAATTCCCAACAATTTCTGGAATGTACGTAGATCTCGACGAGCTAATTTGAAAAACATAACTTGTTGATGGTTACGGAGTAAGGTTTTCTGAAATATTTGGTTTGAAAATGAAAATTTAGAAATACCTCAAAAATGTCATATTTTATTTATCGATTCTAGAAAATTTGTTGGCATTTTCGAAAAACTGAAGCCGAAAATAAATTATACAAAACGAAATCTACAAGATGATGTCTTAAGTAATTTTGGAATAGTACTTGAAAAACTGTCAAAAATTTGTTACGCGTATTCGAGATTGCAACATTGACATTTTGGAAGTTGCCTAAAACTCCACAACTAATTTTGGAATGTAAATCACGACGAGTTGATTCGAAAAACATAACTTGTTCATGGTCACAGAGGAAAGTTTTCTGAAACATTTGGCTTGAAAATGAAAATGCCATATTTCATTGATTATTGATTTTGGAAAATTTGTTGGAATTTTCGAAAAACTGAAACCGAAAATAACTTTAACAAGTCAAAATCTACCAAAACTGTTTTCAAGTATTTTTTGAGGGGTATTCAAAAAAAGGCCAAAAATTTGAAACGGGGGGCTATTGAAAAATTGAGATTTTTGAAAAGTTGCTTAAAAATCATCAAAAAAAAAATTGTGTGTAGATCTGAACGAGCTAATTCGAAAAACGTAAGTTGTGGACAGTCCTGGAGCAAGGTTTTCTGAAATATTCGGTGTGAAAATAAAATTTTTGAAGCATCTTAAAAATGTCATATTTTATTTATCAATTCTAGAAAATTTGTTGGAATTTTCGAAAAACTGAAGCTGAAAATAGCTTTCACAAGTCAAAATCTACAAAAACTGTCTTCAAGTATTTTTTGAGGGGTATTCAAAAAAAGGTCAAAAATTTGAAATGGGGGGCTATCGAAAAATTGAGATTTTTGAAAAGTTGCTTAAAAATCATCAAAAAAAAATTGTGTGTAGATCTGGACGAGCTGATTCGAAAACGTAAGTTGTGGACAGTCCTGAAGCAAGGTTTTCTGAAATATTCGGTTTGAAAATAAAATTTTTGAAACATCTCAAAAATGTCATATTTTATTTATGAAATCTAGAAAATTTGTTGGAATTACTGAATAAATTGAGATTTTTTATCTTGGTCATTTTGGAAATGGTAAGAATTTTCGAAGAAATACGGACGAAAGTAATTTGTGGAGTTCCAACTCTGCAAAGAAATGTCTGGTTAGTTTTCAAAAATGACCAAAAAGGGGTTGAAAATTTCACGAGTCTTGAAAAATTGAGCTTTTAGAAAAGTTGTTCAAAAATTCGCAAAAAATTCTGAGATATAGATCTCGACGTGCTAATTCGAAAATATAGGGTGTTTAAAATATCGGTGAGAGATCTTCGAAACGGGTGAGTATCGTGTTGTTCAAAAATTACCATGCATATTAAAAATTAAAGCCAGATTGGGATCGAGACGGATGGGTGGGGCTTATCTTTTGGCTTTCTTTTTTACTTAATACATATAGTTTGATTTAAACAACACGTTTACTCAAGAATATATTTCATATAGGAATTTGTCGCAGGAGAACAAGGACTTTGCAATTAAATTCCGCCCCACGACTTACGACGAGTAAAAAAAATATCACGATGGAGATAGGGCGGGTGGGCGGGGCTAATATTATGCCTTTTTTCTTAAAATACGTAGTCATCTGTTGTAAGTTTTTGTTGTGAGAAGATGACTGCGTATATATCAAGGCAAAAAGGAAAATATAAGCCCCACCCACCCGCCCTGTCTCAATTGTGATGATTTTTTTTCATTCGTCGTGAGCCAAGAGGGCGGAGCTTAATCGCAAAATCCTTATTTCTCTACAAAAAATTACCATGTAAGACATGTTTTTGAGCATCGTGTTCTTCAAAAAATACAATGTATATTAAAAATTAAAGCCAGATTGGGATCGATAGGGATGGATGGGGCTTATGTTTTGGCTTTCTTTTTTACTTAATACATAATATAGTTTGCTTTAAACAACGTGATTATTCAAGAAGATACTTCACATAGCAGTTTCTCATAGGAAAACAATTAAGCTCCCCTCCACGACTTACTGCGGGTAAGAAAATCATCACGATTGAGATAGGGCGGGTGGGCGGGGCTAATATTATGCCTTTTTTTCTTAAAATACGTAGCCATCTGTTGTAAGGTTTTGTTACGAACAGATTACTACGCATGTTAAGGAAAAAAGGCAAAATATCATTAATTGATTCTGGAAGATTTGTTAAAATTTTCGAAAAAATGAAGCCGAAAGTAAGTCGTATGTGTCCAGATTTACAGGAAAATATTTTGAGGTATTTTTCGAAGACTGCTCGAAAAACGGCCAAAAATCTGATACGTTGAAAAAATGAGATTTTGGAAAATTGACTAACAATAAAAAAAAAGGAACGTAAGAACTCGCTTTGAAAATAAAATATCTTAAAAGTAACAGGGTGGTCAAAAAATGAGGGAAAAGTTCGATGGTACATTGTTAAAATGGTTAAAAAAAATGGTTAAAAAAGTCCTTGAACCAATTTTAGAAAATATTAAACTTGAAAGTTGGAGAATCAACTTTGTAGTTCTGATATGTTTTAACGTGGATTTAATTAACAGTCTTTTTAAATTCCTATAAAAATTGTTAAAAGTGACATTGGTCAACAGTAAAAAATGACGTTATATTTATTCCCATTAAATTGACCGCATCTTCAGAGAATATTAAATAAATCTAGGTTAACGTCCTGGATAACAAAATTTAGTAGTTTTTTACAGATGCAATGTGCAATTTTGAAAGCCTGATGTCATGTGCCATCAAAATCATTTTACAACTGAACACAGGAAATCAATATTTTCTTATTAATGACTAAGAACATGTAATGAATATTTTTAAGTAAAACTCATTTAAAACAATTGTTATATTGATTGAAAATTCTACTATTCTAATCTAATCGCTTGTACATATATTAGTATTTTTTTTTTGCAACCCCATAATGTAGTACCTTGGTACAGACTTGAATAATTGCCCAACGACATGTGCAAATTTACTTAAATTTGATTTGTAAACATAAAAGATACTATTACATACAAATTTAAAACTTGTGTATACAGTTTCGCAAGATCACAAAGAGAAACGTACTAACTAAAAGTGCTTTACTGATGCATCCTGTTATTGTTACTTACTACACAAAACCAAAAACTAAATAATAACAAAAAATAAATGATCTGATTTATACAAAGTGGAGTGAATCATGTGCGACGTTTTAAGTGTTAGACGGGATTTAGGGCACACGAATTGATGTACATACCACAGGTAATTTATCTTTTACATTTTCCAAAAAAATTGTTATAAATTTTACAGAAAATTAAAAAAGGTCCAAATGCCAGGCGCACGTTTCATTTTATAAAAGCACAATACGATTCCTCTACAGCTTAGTTCGCGCGCGAAGCGCATCCTCTAAACATTGTAAAACACATTATCTAACTACATTGTGGTAACAACTGTAATTTAGTGTACTTAATTTTTTCGTGGCGGCGGACAGCAGCAAAAAAAAATACTGTAATTTTATGGCATCGATTCAGGTAGGTCAAACCAAAAATCTAAAAGTCGGAAGCAGTTAAGCGAAAATTACACAATTCTATTATTTACTAGTGCCGGTTGTCATTTTTTTCTTTTTTCCAAGCAACGATGGTCGTACAAGGTTCAGTAAGCGACTTAATATTTTCCTCAGTAATTTGGCGACCCACCCACGTGCAAAATTATTATTAATTGTCTTGGCCGCTTCTCATGTAAATATGTGACAGTAGTTTTATTTGTGGAATAAACATTTTCGACATATCATAAAACATATAAAGTACAAGAACTTCTCATTTTCACTTCGTCTTTCAGTTGAACGTTATGTAAATTTTGTTTCAATTGAAACATTCCCGGGTTAATGAAGTGTTTAAATATTTACAACCCGACTTTTAGAGTGGTATTATTAGTATTGACGGAATATTCTTACAAAACAGTGTATAAATGCTTAACCAGATAATTGCTTCAATTAGCTGAAAGTTACTAACAAGACCAACATGGCAAACAACAGTAAATTAACTAACTTTATTCCAGAATAAAAATTTTAGGGCACGATATATCTATCAGCTAGATTTCCTTATATGGCTTAAGAGTGTGATTACATTAGAAGTAACACCTAGTAACGATCTGTTAAATCAAAACTTGTTTATTTATACACAGTTTATAGTATCCTTTGTTGTTTTACGTGACTTTTAAAAAGTTTTTAGTGGTATTACTTAAAAATTAACGAACTTGTTTAAATTCAGAAAACTTTACCAGTTCGTCAGGAATTTCATACATCTTCTTGATGAAACTAATGTTGACGTTTTCATTTCGCAGCATGACATTACACCATCCTTAAAATTATCAATGCTTTGCCACAGTGTTGGTTTCTCATTTATAACAACACAGAATCAACTTTTGTAATTAATGTACCTTATAATATTGCGTGTTTTGTGAAAAACAAAAATAAAGAAAATAGTAACTACCTGGAAAAATACTAAAATCGTCCGAAGTATTAAATATTTATGAGTTTTATGAGAGAACTACTTATCTAAAATTTGATACAACTTATTAATAACTTTATTTCTTTCGCATAAAACTATAAATACTTTGTAACTGGTAGAAACATAGCGAATAAAAAAATCTGATGATAAATTTAAATTTACGCGTGTATTAATTTTTAAGTGTTACAATTGAAAACATTGAATTTTGACAACAATTACAAAGTACGGTCTGATATTAACAGTAGATTATTGTTGTTAAATGGTCGTTTGTTGTTATTGAACAGCCTTTAGAACAGGCAACAAAAACAATATTTCGAGGATCTGCAACACGTTCGTAAAATTGATTTATATTGAATGAATTTTTTGAAAAAAAGGTGTTATTATGAAGCAGAAAACGTCTACTCTAAAATAAATCTTGCTTTTAAATTCTGTCGTCAGACAGCCGAGATCTGCAAATCAGAAGATGCCGAAGAAGTTCTCTTTAGCCGAGGTACACACAACGTTTTTTAGGCGATCATAAAGAAAAATAATCTGATAAAAATCAAAGTGCTACTTCGCTCCTCTACTGATAAAAAAAATTATACCGACATTTAGTAAAGGTGTGGAGTTCAAATAACGGCGTCTTTTTTTTTTTGACGCTAAAGTGACAAGTGAGTCCAAAAAAGTAATTTTGACATTTCAATACAAAAAAGTCAAACTTCATCGACGTGACTGGGGACATAAAACGACTACATTTGTAATGGTCACCTAAAAAATATACAATAAACTTCTACATGTCGCCTAATTAAAAAAAAATGCTTAAAAACATTTGTCATATTTGACGAAATTTTTCATGTTGGTAACATAAAGTTTTGGTTTTTATTTTGGATTTGACGTTTCACGAGATCTGAGTAATTGTTGTTAACATGGATAATTGATATTTTGATAATGTTCATTTTAAACTCATATGGTCAAAGTTTCCCTAGTAGAGCAACAGAACATTTCTTATCTGGATTCTCATACACAATATTTTGTGTAGAAACAATGTTTAAATTTTAATTAAGCATTTCAGTAGGTATTCAGAAAATATAAATATTTATAAGCTTTTTTGTAGGTATTTATAACAGTAATAAATTTATCTGGGTCTAGACTACCTAAAGTGGTTAAATACATACGCCAAATAACAATTCAAAAATGGTAATATTAAGTGAATGTTTACATAAAAGTTACAAACAATAACACATAATCATGAACATTTCCACCCATATTTTGCTATTATAAACATTCCGATTAACCTTATTTTTCACATAATTATAGTTTTTTTTTTGTTGAAATACTTTTATTTTGCACTAAATATTTTTTTCTCTTACTTAAATGCTTCCAAGTGAGTTTCTACTTGGCCATGGCGCGTACGTCAGCAATTGAAACGGCTGACGTAAGCGTCATGGTCAACTAGAGTAGAAATTTAAAAAATCTCCCGATACAAGAATTGTAAAATAATTTTGAATTGTGGAAGAATTGTTTATGGTTGATTTAAAACCGACAAATATGACATTATTTTGGTTTAGTATAATTAGTTCACAAATATGTATTTGCCTCCTGAGCGTAAACTAAGGAAGTTTTATAATAGAGTCCATCCGGCGAATGGCTATTTTTATGTTTTTTCAACATTTCATGACCCCTAGAGTATGAAAAAATATGTTTTCCATTTCCGTCTGTCTGTCAACTAGACTCTACACTTGTGGTTTATGAATGAAGTTTTATCTAAATAACCTTGGATCAATTTTTGTTTGATTTTGTGTACAATATCAAATTCAACAATTATTTTTTATTTTATTATATGATATTGTTAAACAACAGAAAATCTATACATACCTATATGTTAAATACGGCGCACTAATACTTCGATTAACGATTTTGTCGAGTTTACGGCTTTAGAGTAAATAGTAGTGATAATGTTTACCTACGTTTGTATAACCCACTAGTTCTATCGAATTTTCCTGATATTTGCCCTTGCTGAAACAGTAGAAAACACTCCTAAAATAGGTCGGTAAATTGCATTAAGAGAAAAAACACGCGAAAAAACGTGCCGATAGGACATCTGGGTACAAAAAATGGATGAAACTGATCATTTAAAATTATGGGAACAGTAATATTATTAAATTGAAAAACCTCATTAACTTTGAATTTTCAGAGACACAAATGCAGAAATATTTTAATTTTATTCATCTGGGGTATTTTTTATAAAAACAAGGATAATATTCTTTGTTCAAATTTGATATAAAGTAAATTATACAAATAAACGAGCGATGTAGAGATTTGTAATTATTTCATTATAAATGTTTTATAAAAATTTAAAAACACTGGTGAAACTGTCTCAGTCAATTCAATTTGCGTTTTTATAAACGTGTAATTTAATTACGATACTTTTACGAGATGTTTGTTTTGATGTCAACTACACGCCTTTAAAAAGATACGGGTGACGAAATACTACTACAATTAATTTAATTACGTTTCTGTATTTAGTATTATTGTTACAATTATAAACTATCCACATATTTCAAAACTTTGTACAGACGAATATGACTTTAATTTGCATATAATTACGTCTTGTTTCTTTCTAAATTAGTGAATAAATCCTGGATATATCTACAGAGTGTATGAGCGAAAGTCTCGACAGGATTTTTTGGAGAAAAACAAAAACAATTTTTGTAGTCGATTTTTTAATGGAAAATTAGTTAGTAATCCTTTGAATAAGTTTTAAAAGTCGAAGTGTTATATCCTGCGTCATCGAATATAAATCTTAAACAGTTGCTAACAATTATGAAAACGTATTAAACAAAGCAATAAAATTACAAAAAGCACACAATAAAGATATGGATTTGTCCACTAATTAAAAAGTTTGATATTGTAACTAACCGTAATTTTCAAGCCATGCGATTAACAAATAAGACAAAAGCATACATTTTGAAAATTGAAAAAAAAAAAACGTTTTAATTGTCTATTGCGATGCAAATTTCTTCTTTGTTGGTGGGAATGATTCCAGAGATTTGCACGTCTTTCAATCTACGAGACATTTTTCTAATTTCAGATTTTTGTTTTCTAAGAGCTGTATTGAGCTGAAATTCACTTTCTGCCGTAATAAAACAGGGATGAATACCATGACGTCAGCGCGTATATTGTTAATAAAATTAATGTTCTCTTTCTCGAGTAATCTTATTGATTAGACCGCCCATTATTATAAAAAAAAAACACTTTTAACTAATAATCTGTGAACAATAAGGAAGACGCTTTAATCTAGATTTCATTCTTGAGATATAATTGCGTCAAATCATTGTACGAAATGAAAATTCCATCGCAAATTACCACCTATTTATAGATGAAGAGTTAGAGAGATAATCGAATATCGTGTTAATGCACTGAGAAGGTGTGTCTGATTAGTGATTAAAACATAATCTTCTATATAGTTCCATTAACTTAATCCGCTAATGTAGTTTGACACTAACAGACGCAAAAGAAAACCTTAACCCTCCCCTAATTCTTGATTATCGGAAATCCAGGTGCAATAAAACCACCACGTATTATAATTGATTATCTTATCGCGATAATCAAACGTCGAGAAGCGTGATAGAACCCAGTAATTTTCCGAACATGTCAAACACTAATATTTGCTGGATAATTTAATCGAAGTGTTTAGCTTAATTAGCTGGGCTCTTATTTTTATTATACACTCAATCAAAATACAATGTGTTGTGACAAGCTCAAGTGCGGACGATGCAGCCTGTTAGTGATGTCAGTGTTGTGAAAAAATGAAAATACCCCACTCGTAGGTGTCAGAAAAAAATAAAAATGTGTTAGTCAATGCTTCCATTGGCTTCAATTTTTTGCCGACTCAATTGGTCACCTAATTTCAAAATGCTGTTATCTGTAGAGCCGATAGCATCTTATCGTTTTTTTCCTATTACAAGAACTAGTTAAAGATTTTGATAAAATATTACGAAATGATTTTTTCTAGTGAGTATAGAAACAGACTTGGCACGTTGTAGGTCAATATTTGTTTGGTTTACACAAATATTGTATCAGTGGTGTTGATGCGTTTTATTTGAAGAAATAATTGTACTAATTTGTTGTTTGAAGCACAACGGGTAAGACAGTAGCGTCTAAAACACAACGAATTCGCCAATATTTGTCGACATTATAAATCAGTAAAAAGCGCAATTGTGCGCAATATGTAGTGTTTGCTTTTTCTCCTTTATCAATGTATTTTTCAGTTCTACAAATAAAAAATAACGGTCCTGAAAAGACAAAGATTTTCCTATGTGAACAGGCACAGTGTTAAATTCGAACGTTAAGATTGAATTAAATTCCTTAACTTAGCTGAATATTTGCGCACTATATCGTACTTTTACACATTTCTCGTTTTACACTATTTTTCTTTATGTTTACAGTCGCGAAAAGTGATTATTTATTTACTGTGATCTACATAACATAGACACTTGTTTGTAACACATATTTTTCATTAAAATCACTTTTTTGCAATCGCACTGGAGTATTTATTTATAGTTTTTATCACTGAAGTGAGAATTGATTCTAACAATGGAACTTTTAAATTTAGCATGTTCGTCTTTACTTTGTAATAATTAGTCTTTTGAAAACAAGAATAATAAACTACCAACCTTGCCAAGTCTCTCAAATTACATATAGAAACGTGGTCATTTATATAAAAAATTTGTTAAACAGGTATGTAACAGTAGAGTAAGTGCAAATTCTACCTCGGTTAGAGCGAAAATATTAATTTACATATTCATGAAAATATTTCCGTGTTAACTTTTGTGTGGTGATAAATTGTTTAAAATGTCTGTCAAGTAACGATGATGATCTTCCAAGATTTGAGATTAAAGAACCGCCTGGAAAGTGTGGCATCGATGAATATTGTATGAAGTTCAAAGAAATTTAATATTAAGGAATACAGGTTTGCTCACATTAGGTTTGGTCGAGTTATAATAAGAAAATTTGTTAGACCAAAATTCTTTGTGAAGCGTGCGGAATTTTTCAAAGAATAATGAGTTACCTTAACTTTGTATATATTTTTAAATCTGACGCACGTTTTCTCGACGTTTCATGATCTGTCTGTCACCTCAAAATGTCAAATAGTAAATGTTACCTAATTAAATTTTATAAAGTAACATCCTTGTGTACTTGTGGTTTATGAATTCGTCTTGGGTTTTCATGCAGATTTGCGCAAAATATCTGATAACATGAGACTACTTTCTTTTTTCGTGAAATTATACTTACCTACTACCTGTAAAAAAAAAAAAGCAATTACATATTCCAAAACTACCGAGGGTCGATTTTTCACTGACGTCTGAATTTAATTATCTACGATTCTCCCTAAGTTTGAACACTTAGTCGACTCTCTTTCAAATCTAAAAGTACTAACACTCACAACACAAGTGCGAGCATAAATCCGTCTAATTTTAGAAAAGCCAAATGTTCTCGCAACGTACTAATGAAAGTTGAAAGTTTTATAATCAATTTAAAACGCAACGCCTCACATATAAGTATTTAACCCCCCACCTCTCGAAACTGATGACGTTATCTCATTCTTGCGCTAGTTTAGGAGAAAAAAATTATTATGAAAATTTTACAAGCAAGGATATTTGTTTCAGATCATGATCTTATTTGTCTTCGTTGTGCTCGTAAGTGTAGTGGATGGTACGGACATTATGAACACAAGACTCCCAGAAGAAACCGCTTTTGTATCAAAAGTTGAACCTCATCAGGAAGTTGAACCATGTATCTGTGACTGGTATGACACGACAGAGTATTACGAACTGGACATTGAATGTAAATGTTCCGGAAAGAAATTACTACACATCCCTGCTTATCTTAACAAAACTTTAACGAAACTAATTGTGACGGATTCGGATATCAGGTACATTACAAAGAACGAGTTCAACCCCTACAAGAACAAATTAAGAGACGTGTAAGTACGACTTAATTTCTATACAACTAAAGATTGTTTAATTCGGTTTTAATATGTAAATGAATACTCCTTCCTGTTACACTTTGAGTGTGTATTTTTACATGTTTGAAAACCACTGCACCTAAATATTTTATTTTATTACCGAACGCTATTTTCCTTTCGACTGCTTTATTACTTCATCGTTAAAATCCAATAAACACTGCGGTTTTTCTTCTAACAATAACATGTAATTTATTTTGAGGATTGAACCCGTCAAACTCTCACTATTATTTTCGTGTCTCTTAACTTCACTCGGGTCTTAATATTGAAGCTGAACAGCCACTGACATCGTTATAAATGAAATTAAGTTTATGAAATTTTAAAAACCACTGCTGAAATCGACAGCCACAGAGAAAAAACTATTGTTTGCACAAGATGTGGTATCGGGAAAAAAACTCGATTGAAAGTAAATATTTAACAGGAAAAGCCTCACAACAATCGGTGAGCATTCTACACCTGAGTTTGGGTTTGTATTTACTGTTTCGTTCAGATTGATGAATTATTTGTGACAAGTTTTTAATGCGAGATTAGTTAAGTGTACACATAATAAATGATAATGTGTACATTAATTAAGCCTAAGTCATTGTTAAATCCGGAATAAAATGTTCCTGTTCATTTATTATAGAATAGAAACACCGTTTTTCCCCCGAAATCCCCACAATAACCTTTGCTCTTACAATAGGCTACCCGTAAACATCTACTGGTACTTAAGGAGCCCCGAATAGCAGCAAAAAATTCTGCTTTTGCTTATAAAAAATGGGATAAAGCGACGAGTTTAGCGCCCAATTTCACTGCACACACGTCTTTTGCATTGATTTTCGTTACCAGAGGTTCTTGCGAATATTTCGCGTTATTAGATTTTTTCAAATTTTCTCCACACGTGCCAGATAAATTACGTCTATTAATATTATTTTAGCAGTAATAAAATCCTGAAGCAAGTAAGCAAAAAGCACATCAGAACGCAACATTTGCTTAATTATTCGATATAACATAATGAATTTTTAAGTGTATTTACCTCTACACACTCGACCGAAATCTGTGCTTGATTAAAACCTTTTCAGGTATTAAATTTCGGTTTCCTTTGAAACTCCATAAAAAAGTTAATTAAATCTGTCTTTTTATTTTAATTTTGTGATTGGACATGTAAAACTGAATTAAAACAAAACAGTAAAACGTAAAATACACTTAGTAGAGAATAAAATTTAATAAGCATTCCTTCCGACTATAAAAACGTTCTCATAATCCAAGATTCGTCTTAATCAATACCGACTTGGAATTTTATTAATTTGACGATTGTTATTGGTTTAATTTTATCTTCGTATTTTTATATACGGTATTCGTCATTCATTACTTTAAACGTAGACATCAGAATATGTTTAAATCAATATTCATTTAATTTTTCTTCGTGCTGAAAAATATGAACTGAAACTAAATTCTTCTTTAAGATTTTCTCATAAAAGCGAGCATTTTTGACAGAATCTGAAAGATTTATACTAATAATTGTCAAACTGTTTGAAAGCGGTACATAGTTGCGAGGGTGCAGAACTTTACAACATAAACAAAACAGCTGGTATTGTGCGAATAACAGGTGGTAAGTTGTCAAAGATGTATCTCACATGTGGGCTCTTAAATAATAATAATGCAAATGATATGAATAAATTAGCCTAAGAAAACCCATATATATGTAAATAACGCGCTTAAACTTTCTACCAAGTGGAGAGAAGCTTATACAAAATTTTATTGGTGGACATGCGGACAAAATTACTTCGCTAAAATCCTTTTAAGTACGTGCTTATCTATAAAAATGAAGCAAGTTAATACTTTTGATAGTTTAAAATTAAATTTAGTTAAAAACTTCAGTCAATATGATTATTTCAATTTCTGGTTGGAATATCCAACAAACTTACTTTTTGTTGCTACTAATAACAAGCGAAAACAACTGTAGTAAAATCAAGAACTTTATTTTTGACTCGTATAATTTGTATGTACATTAATACTATGTGAATCGATTTTGATTATAGAGTATCCATGTGACATGCTACGTAAATCTAAAAATAACAAGTGGTTTGTTGTATCTTTTCATATAAAAAATACAAACAAATCTAGTGTGAATTTATAATAAACATAAATGCTTTTTAGATGGCAGTTTTCTGTTTCTGTTTTGATTTACCTGTAAATTAATTCAACTTTTACAGCTTAGTATTAACCAATCTAAATGAGAGAAGAAAACACTAAACAATGGTCTATCACGTTGCTCCATGGTGTATTCAAACATTGTAAAAAGAAATTAGGAGTGAGTAAAAATGGTTACCAAAACAAACTGAACTACGTTTTAGTATCAAATTTACAATGTTTATAGATTTTTTATATGCCAAGTTTAAGTTATTCACATTTTGAAAAAGGATGGATTTGTTGACAATGGGGAGGTTTTTTTCGGGAGGAAAAATTAAAAGAGTGTGATTCATGAGTGCTTTTGTACGATAAACATTACGTAGCAGTGGCTATGAATTTTCAAAACGTGAGATTTTTATTCAGGGAGGTGGGGTTTAGGGAAATTGTGGAAAATTCAGTTGCTTTGTTAAGTGCAGGCTAAGTTTTTTCAAAAGTGTGATACGAATTGATTTATACTTTCTTAATAAATGGTTCCAGAGAGGCAGTATAAAGAAAATCATTAATAAAATTTTAGTAACAACACGTTTTAAAACATATTTGTACTAGTAAAACGTACCGAAAGCACCCAATTGTGTGATATGGGCATTCATTCTTTGGATTTAGCGTGTAAAGATAACGATATCAACTATAAAAACGTTTTAAACTGTGATTCGGTGTTCATTTTAAATTGTAGATAATTTCACATAGGGGAACCTCACATGTCAAAAATAATTCAATAAACGCCACTTTAAGACATAAGTAATTCATTTAATCCTCACAACTTTTCTGTCTATAATTTATTAAAGCTATGTTTTTGATAGAAATTGCGACTTTTGAAAACACGCATTGTGGTAAAACCAAACTCAGGAAAAAGTACATTAAAAAATTAAATTTGAAAACTGGCAAGAACTTCTTAATGACATTAAAAGCTATCAAGTCGTAATAAAAAATTCTTCGATTACTACTAATAACACAAAAATTATGAAGCTCAAAAGTGACACCATAATATTTAGTTTCAGGTATTCTTTTAAAATACTAATTAAAAAGTACGCTTACCATTAAAAAATATCGATGACGTTACACCTTTCAAGGTTTCGCCCGAACACTTTTTTTAATTTGCTGTAGATGAAAAATGGTTTGGCACTTTTGGAACTTACATCATCGTGATTTTTTGTGAATTAAGATTCAAAATATATACAGATTTTTTTGAGTTTTGTAAATTAATTGATATTTCTGAAAAAAAAAACCACTGGTTTTAGTTGATTCGTTTACGTTCTTAGCAAATGTTTAATATTTAAATCTATTATTGTTGTCATTTGCTGTCTAATTTGCCAGCAGTATCGATACCTAACAATTGTGAGCTAAAAGTTGTAAAAGATTTAGCGAAATGCAGCTAATTGTCTTTTGTTTTAAAAACTAGTATTGGTAAAATTGATTAATAGAACTGATTCTTCTTCAACATGTTTAAGTTTATATTTACTTTTATCCTTGTATTCGATAAAACCAGCTTGCAAAAATATTTCAAAATAGATTTCCTCTAAATGTTTAAAATATAAATAGAATTTTCAACATTATTTTAACTTGTAGCAAGTTGAATCTGAAACATCGTAAAATGTAGTAATAAAATATTCTATTCTCTGCTTATTTAATAACATATTTCATTCTATTTCAAAAAACTAAGATATGACCGTTCGAAAATTATAATACGTATTTTAGAAATATTTTTTTAAGGAGTCAAAAAGATTAACTTTTATTGCTACTATAACAAAGTGCATACCTTTGTTTATCCATCCACAAAATATTGCAATACAGATGTTAAAAATAACTTTATTGCGACTTTTTGTGAGCGTTTGAATTGAATGAAAGATTGAAATAATTTGTCAACGCTGCATCGGAACCAGATTTTCTAAAATTTTCAATCTTACGACAAAAAATAACTTTGATTTAGATGAATTTAACGAATTTTTAAACAACAATAGTTCATATTTCCTCATCTAACTCTTATTCTTCTATAATGAGTGCCTAAAACTGCGTGCAGATCTCATATGTTAAAAGTAATTGGGCCTCTTCCGATTTTAGAGGTACACCAATATTGTGCTTTATCTCCAAATTCTGACAACGTTGTTTTTATTGTAGGTAAAAATTTATTGTGTCATTATTGCCTTAACGCTAATCTTTTTTGATACATTTGAATCACCTGATAACAAAAATTAAACTGTCCAAAAACTTACTGGTCGATGGAGACATTTTTACATTACCAAAATTTTAGGTAATTTTTCCCTTTTTTAATCTCAGTAGATTTACCGACATTACGATTTTTTTTTATGTAAATGAGAATTGTAGATAATAAGAGACACATTACTGGTAAAAATTGAAAGCTGAAAACGCTAATAAAAGGTTAGAGCTGAAGTGTTCCGAACCCAGTTTAAAATAAAATTATCAGGCGGAAAAATATTACTCAGCTTGTAACTTTTACCAAGATAATTTGCTTGAGACCTATCCACTTTACTTTTAAAGCCTGCTCCCATTTTCATTGCCGAAAGCTGCGAAACGCGCCAGATCGTATTACGCCAGAGTCGTATTGACAGAGAAAAGTAGTCACAAGGGAAGGGTCAATGAAACCAATATAGTCAGCATTGTAGTATCTCGTGTGGCCAAATAAATTTGACTAGGCAAATGAACCCCATTCATCTTGGAAGAAATTTATTAGTACGTAACAAAATTGGCGGGAACAGTGTTAAGCAAACAAAGACGTTCCGAGTGTTTCCAACTTTCAGACAGCTTCTTAAACAAGACACGCTGGAGAAAATTGTATTGTTTTGGAGTTAAGCAACTAATTTCGCTGCGTCTACGTTAAGAATGTTAATAGAGATTGCAGAGAGTCAATATGTCGAACAGATCCAACTTCGTAGTAATGAGATTAGGATCTTGAGTGCTACTACCATTGCATCTTAATCAGCCACGATTAACCTGCTTGATAAGTTCTTAGTAGTTTTGTCCTTCATCTAAGTAATAATAATAATATTAATCAATACGCCGTTAATATTATAACAACATTAAAGCTCTTTTTATGTAGGAGACGTAACTTGTCTACTTTTATAGCTTATTCTGCTCGTTGTTAATAGAGGTAATCGGGCAGATTTATAACTAAACGCTATAGAAAAAAATAACTTCAGATTGAATCGTGCTCGATCACAGAATATTGTGTGCGGAATACAGAATTATAATGGCATCTGTCAACTACATAACACTATCTATCCCGACAACTTTCGTGTATCGAATCGCAACATTTTATATCAAAGCGAAGCTTTTAATAAAACTCTGACAATCTTGACTGAATAAAACATCTTTGAATGCTTCTATGATTGCTGCACCTCTTTTATTTCCAGAACCCTGGGTAATCTCCCCTATCTGCGAGTGATTGAAGACGGAAGTTTTGCTGACATACCTAATTTAAGAACATTGTAAGTCAATAAAATATGTAGTAAACGAGTATAGAACGGCGTTTTTTAGGTACATATCACATGCTCCTCAACTCAAGTTCCTTCATGGTTTACTAATGGGTGTCACCTCGAACAAATTTTACTCCGTGTAAGTAAAATCTTGTATCATGATATCAGCCTTGTTCTTATTTAATTTTAATTAATGGTGGATGCGCCGGGTTTAATATATCCTGCTTCCGGAACTGGGTTTGCAAATACGAGTAGCTCGATCGCTGTCTTTATCGTAAACACTGTCTGGAGATCTGAAAAGGATTTTATTTGCTTCCGAGCTCTCCAATTTTATTTCTATGGAAAGTAGAAATTAAGTGGACAGCGGAAAGCTATAGCAAAAAATTTTGTGGAACGTTTGCGGTGTTATTAACGGGATTTTAAAGTGGTATAATTTAAATTTGCGTGAATTCCTGTTTGATTCATGAAGAAATGAAAGCGAGTTAGAGCGAAGAAAGACAGAAATGTTCTCAATTTGCCTGGAATTAAATACACTTAGCTACCGGTTTAATCATAATTTGTCTGGAAATATAAAGTTAAATTGAATGGATTTAAAAATGTAGTGTGGCTGACATTACACAAGTTTCTTATATGAATAAAGGAACTTTGTTGGCAACAATTTCGTACTTCGTGCATAATCTAGTTTGTTTTATAAAAACTACAACGATGTTTAGCTATTTTGTTGGACGAAAATGATGTTCGATTTGCACTCTCTCGCTGTCACGACGTAATTTACTTCTATCACGATTTTTGTTCGAATAATTTGCCAAACAATGTTGTTTCCACAGAAAAAAAACAAACAAAAAGCCAGAATTTATGTTTCTGAGGCTAAACTGTGTTGACAAAAAAACACGAATAAATGAGTCAGATTTCAATTTGTGGTTCGGATGTACAATCAGAATACTTTAGACGGAATACAAAACGACATTCGTATGTGTTTGTTAACTAAATATTAGATTTTTAAATGAGAATCTTGCTTAGTGTTTCTGTAAAAAAAATTGTAATAACTAGGAACCAAAATTAAGCCGTAAATTAAATAAATCGAAAAGTCAACATTGCTCTTTGTAATTTCTCGTGTTTTTTCTCCAAGAATAGCAAGGTTTATAAACACCTGATTATATAATATTTCGTGTTTTTGCTCCACAAATAATGATATGAGGAATCAAGATTTATAACTGAATGTGAATGTTATAAACATATTTTTAATGACGTTACGTAAAAACTAATTTATTCAGTTTAGTCGCCATTATTTTTTTTTTGTGCGTTGATAATTCTCTCAAAGCAAAAAACGCATGACCGAGTAAAAGCGTTTGTTATGTATGACCAGTTTTCCTTTGAAACAGAAAATAACTGTTCGAATGGTTGAAAATAGACGTATCTGTTGTTACTTGTTGATGTTATTAGCCTGCCGAATTTTTGAATTATCCCCACAATTAATTTATTTTTGCCCTCCCGAGACTAAAATTGATATCTTAGTCCCTGTAAATCGGGACTAAAGTGGCTTTTTTAACCCTAGGGATCAAAAGTGTTTCCATAACAACCAAACACTTTTTAACTTAAAGTGGCTCATCTTATTTACATCTATAGCCTTAGTTACCCTACGAGGGTTACTATCGCGATTCATGATAGGTAATTTCGAATATTTTCTTCCAATTTAAAATTTGGTATCTATAATCCCGAGACGGCAAAAAATAGTATACATATACACTACAAGACTAAAGTGCGATGTAATCCCTCAAGTAGTTATTGCCCTCGCTAACGCTCGGGCACTAATCTCCACTTTCGGGATTAAATCGTGCACTTTAGTCTCTTGGTACATAATATACTAATTTTTAATGGAATTTTATATCAAAAAGTCACATTATTTTGCTTAATATAAAAGTCTGACGTAAAAAAACGCTCAAATGTCATGGTTAGAGTACATTATTTTATTCAGATATGGTAGGTATGAGCTAAATTTAAATTATTAGATACGTTAAACATTTTTTGTCAGTCAGTTGTTCACATAATGACTTTAAAACATAATGGTAAACAAAAATGTTTGGTGTTTACCACGAGCAAAATGTTTAACAACTTGAACATTTTCCCCATAATGTTCTGATTATTATAGATTTTTAATTATTCATTACTTATTAAAAACATCAAAGAAAAATATTTTCACTGGAGAAACATAATTAATAATTACTTCAAAGAAAATGCTTAGTAATATTTTACAAACAAATTAGAACAGTTAACTTTTTTCTGAGGTTTTGTTTAAAGTTTCAAGCTCTTTCGTAAGTTCTAAACTTTGCGTTTTTAAGTTTATGACGTTAAAAAGTAAGTATTGTAAAAGAACCCATCAGACAAATCGCTACTTTTAAGTTTTCTCGACGTTTCAAAACCCCTAGAGTACGAATAAACCTCGTTTCTATCTGACTGTCCGCTGTCTGTTTTCTGTCGTCTGCCGTCTGTCTGTGTTTTATTTTTATTAGACATTTGTCTAATCACCCCCACCGACAAGTTGATCACGTCACTTCAAAATGTACATTAAACATTATTTAAATTTTATAAAACAATATACACCTACACTTGTGGTTTATAAATCCGCTTTGAGTTTTTCTCCTTGGCATCCAAATTTTCGAAAAAAAATCCAAACTATATAATAACCTTTTATAAGTACCGCTGCACTTGTCTAATAAAGTGATTAAAAATATCACGGGGGTTTTTAATAGTAGATTTAACCGCTTGCTAAAATAAAATCCGATACTCATCTCACAGTAAATAAAATAAGCCAATCAAACTCAAAAGCGGAAGTCGCTGGGGTTAGTTTTGTCTTTTTAGACTAGATTCCACTGTTTTCAATATAAAATTCATTTTCGTTCAATAAAGTGATCAAGAACAACGCGGGGTGGGTGGGCGCACCACCTAATTTTTTTTAATTGCTGATTTTACCACTTGCTAAAATAAAATCCAGTTTTTACCTCACAATAAAAAAATGAACCAATGAAATTCAAAAGCAGAGGTGGATGGGGTTACCTTTTTTATCTAGATTCGACTGTTTATCAATATAAATTCCACTTTTCATCTAATAAAATGAGTATGAAAAAGAACACGGGATGGGTGGGGGCCACTTTAAATTTTTTGGAGCGTAGAATCAACCACTTGACATAACAAATTCAATTTTTTTTTTCAGTTTGTTCAAGGGTATTTAAGGGGCGAGCAAAATTGTGTCTAAATAATCTGAAACCAACTTTTTGTTATTTAAAATAATCGACAAAGTAAAGTTGACATTTAATAACATATCAAGAAAAAAATTAATTTGCTGTTTTTCGAGAGTCTGTTAAACTTCATGAAAGTATAATTGTTAACAAAAAACGCTAGAAACTATTGTTCTATAGCAATCAGAACAGCCATTTTGTGTTTAATCTTCACTAGTTAGCTTAGCTCTAAGCAATTTGGATCAGAGTATAATAGATTACTTGGCATTTGAATCATTGAAAAAAAATTGGTCGAAAGTTATTTCGACAGAACTTCCTTCGCTTCTGAAGTAGAGTCCAACCAATATGTACTGCTTTTGTAAAAAATGATAAAATTTGATTTTGCGGAATTTTATTTTTTCGTGATAACCTCTATGGAGTAAAAATAATATACAGAGTATTAGTCACAGTGTAATAAAAAAAGAAGGATTCACCTTCTTAAAAAAAGACAGTTGGGGGGCTCCGATAATATTTAATATTCTTAAAAAAAAGACACTTGGGGCCCTCGAGGAGGTTTACTCTTCCTTAAAAAAGAACAGTTGGGACCCCGTGAAGGCTTCACATTCTTAAAAAAAGCAGTTGAGACCCCCGAGAAGGTTTCACATTCTCAAAAAAGACATTTGGCGTTCCCGAGAAAGTTTTACATTTTAAAAAAATACAACTGGGATCGCCTAGAAGGTTTCACATTTGAAAGAAAGGGACTTGGTGCCCCCGAGAAACTTTTACATTTTTAAAAAAGACAATTGGGATCCCCGAGAAGATTTCACATTCTAAAAAAAAATACATTTGCGGCCCTCGAGAAGGTTTTATATTTTTAAAAAGGACAATTGGGACCCCCGAGAAGGTTCCACATTAAAAAAAAAATACAGTTGGGGCCCCCGAGAAGGGGAGCCCCGAGAAGGTTTCACATTAAAAAATAAGACATTTGGAGTCCCCGAGAAGGTTTTACATTTTTAAAAAAGACAATTGGGACACCCGAGAAGGTTCCACATTCTAAAAAAAGTACAGTTAGGGCCTCCGAGAAGGTTTTGCATTAAAAAAAAACAGTTGGGACCCCCGAGAAAGTTTTACATTTTTAAAAAGACAATTGGGACCCCTGAGAAGATTCCACATAAAAAAAAGACATTTGGGTCCCCGAGAAGGTTTAACATTTTTAAAAACAACAACTGGGATAACCGAGAAGGTTTCACATTCTTAAAAAAATACAGTTGTGGCTCACGAGAAGCTTTTACATTTTTAAAAAAGACAATTGGGATCCCCGAGAAGATTTCACATTAAAAAAAAAGACATTGAGACCCTCGAGAAAGTTTTACATTAAAAAAAAATAGTTTGAAGCTCCGAGAAGGTTTCACAATTAAAAAAAAGATATTTGGCGCCCCCGGGAAGGTTTTACATTTTTAAAAAAGACAGTCGGAACCCCCGAGAAGGTTTCACATTCGAAAAAAAACATTTAGCGGCCCCAAGAAGATTTCACATTCTAAAAAACACATTTGGCGCCCCGAAAAGGTTTTACATTTTTAAAAAAGACAATTGGTACCCCCGAGAATGGTTCACATTCTAAAAAAAATATATTTGGGACCCCCAACGAGATTTTATATTTTTGAAAAAGACAGTTTGGACCCCGGAGAAGGTGTCAATTAAAAAAAACACATTTGGCGCCCCCGAGGGATTTTCATTAATTTCATTAATTAAAAATTTGTTATGACGTCGTAAACATAGATAATACACAATGCGAGAAAAAAGTGAAGAAAAAAAGCAAAAAAAACCAACGGTAATGGTAAGCTACTATTATACCGTGCATTATGTTTTTGCAAAAATTTAGAGGGTTAGAGAAAAAGTCAAAGCGGATTCGTACACCACACTTATAGGACTATATTGTTGTATAACATTTAAATCAAATAAACATAGAATTCTTTGAAATGACGTCATCAAATTGTTCGTGGGGATGATTACCAAAATTTTGGTTAGTACTTAACCATCTACATGATATTCCTAATATACATACAAAATTTGACAATCGGTCATGAAGCGTCATTCGTCCGATCGACTCGATTACTATACTTCCTTAGCTTTTGTAAGCATTTTATTATTCGATCTTAAATAATATTCGTAATATCGGTCTTGGCTCGTTTTCACATTTAATACAAAAATTTAGTAAAAATTAAGCCACCTAAAGATTTACAAATACAGGAAAAAATAATCAGTTTTAAGACCAAAATAAATGCGAAACAATATACCCTTAATCCACGTTTCTTTCATATTATTACCGAACATTTTCACCAATTCCTAGAAACAAAAATGAAATTAAATGGGTGAAAAGATTTTTAAAGGCTGATTTAAGGCGACAGTAAATTTAAAACAAATTTTGGGGCTCGTTACTTTTTTTCCAATTATAGGCTGAATTTATTTCAGAGTGTCCATAATAATTTGTACGATGGTAGGTATATTTTAACGTGAAGTGAATAATCACCTGTCTCTCATCCTCTGTTGTGCAACGACAAGGAAAAAACAGCTTAATTTTATCACTCACTAGAAGACGGTTTTCGTTGATCTCATATTTTTACATAACGCAATTAGAATGAGTCAACTATTACTGATAATGAGGCTTCTAAGCGTGGAGTATGAACACTTCACTTCCTAATTTTAGAGATTATATGTCGTACGACTCACGTGAATTTTAATCATATGCGAAAGATAAACTTTTCGTAACAGTCGTAGCCAGAATGAGTTTGTCTACTTTTAAAATGCAAATCTAACAAAAATTTATTCTTCCTGATAAAATAAAATTCACATCCCGTACAAAAATCTGCAGTGTCGAGATAAACCATTTCTGAAAGTATTCCACATTATTTAAAAAAAAAACACCTTGATTCCGGTTACCGTGACCTTAATGATAGACTCAGCAGTTTAATTAGCGCTCTTTTTATGTGCAATTAAACCTTTGAGCGCCTTGAATAAGCTCTAATTTTATTGAGTAGGTTGAAATCGCTCGTAATTCTCATTTCCAATAAAAAACAAATAGCACAGAGAGCAAGCGAAGAACATCCACGTATTTAATGGAAAAGCCATCGATCATATATTTTATTGCATTTATGACGCATGTTCTCAAGAGGAAGTGTTTACATAAAATTCACCGCCAGACCGCCTCTGTTTTGACGAGAATTTTGCTAATATTTGGTTTAGGCCATTGCGCTTGTGACCCAATGAAATTTGATCGTAAATGTTTATATAACTTGTTTGTTCTTTACAGAAGAATCGTCCAAACTGGCCTTCATGAAGTGCCGGATTTCTCACTGCTACCTTCCGAGAACGTCATGCAACTACTGTAAGTAATTTTTGGAGCATAAAAATCAATCCCACAAATCAGTGTATGCCAATAGAAATGTTATTAACTCTATAGAGTCTCAAGGGTTCGGCGAAAAGAGTTGTGATTGAACCATAGACATAGAAAAAAGACAAACAATGAAACTCTGTTAGTTTAGGAAAAGATTGACTTCTTAATCTCGCAGCTCGGGCTGCAATTGAAAGTTTGTTTTACTTCACAAGTGACATTCGTTTCTTTTTGTTCCTTCCTTTCAGTCTGGCTCCGTATTCTTAAAATAAATTGTATTTGTTCTGATGTATATTTCAGTTTATCTTCGGTCTTTTATGGTTGAAGAGGTGCGATTTCTCTGTACAGCTTTTCATATTATCTTTCAATCATCTATCGTGTTTGCAACGTTGCAAGTGGGGGATAAAACGCGGATTTTTACACTCAATCATGTTTCAATTTCGTTACCAAATGAAAATATAATTTAATTTCCCGAGCACAATTTTTGAGTAAGCAGGTTTTATGTCAAGACTTGTTTGAATATTCCCATCTGTGATATTGGGTCAAAGTTACCTCACTCGAAAGCAAACACAACCGCAAATCATACCCACGAAGTTCATTATCATTATCAAACTTTACCTTTGTGTTGATTTTGGTTTGTTATTCTTTCAGTGATTTGGATTTGAATAAAATAACGAAATTAACACGCAACTCGTTAAAAGTAATAGCGGAACAAGTGTGAGTATATGGTGTGTGTAATTAGCCTTATGTTACAAGCCGTTTTCAGAACCTTAAATTACAATGAAATCACGGTTGTCGAAGACTTGGCGTTTAACGGCTCACAAATAGGCAAACTGTAAGTATACATAATTAAGTTTTTTATTTGTCGCCGCTAGTGACGTCGTACAATGCAATTAATTTAGTCAATATTGCCTCACTTCAGACTGATTTCAGACTGATTGGTTAAGGATTGATAATAAAAAATTATCAAACTCTCTTGCTTCCGACAAAGATATTAAATTGGTGGATGCGCCGGTTTTGGTGTTTAATTTTCTGAGGAATCTTTCTTTACTGTTAATAAGTAAATTCCTTCGTTTTCGTGAGAGTAATTTAGATTTGTTATATTATAACGGACTTTGTTCCATACGTCGATACTTCAAAAGAAAGTCGTTTCTTTATTAATATAAATTGAAATATGATGGGTTGTTGATGTCCCTTGTTTGTTTTCAATGAGGTATGATTAATCAATTTCATGTTTGGTAAACACCACTATAACCGATTCGGAACGTGCATAGAATTTAGGTGTTTGTGTAATATGTTTGTTTTATTCTCGGAATCGAAAATAAGGTTTCGATAGTATTTACTGTACATGTGTAATGAATGGTGATTTAAACAACAATTCGAACAAATATTAATGAAAAAGTACGGTAAATAAGGTAATACCAGAAAATATAGGTTGTAATTTATAAATTACTAATTAAGTGATTTTTAGTGCCTGAGCGCAAGCTCAGCTAACAAAAATCAAAATTGTATTGTATATCATTTTACAATTTAACTTTGAAACTGCAAAACTGAATGTCCTGAAATCTTGTAAATGTTTTAAGATTATCGTAACCATGATAAATCGTTATTCAAAAATTATTCGTTTATCCCGTTCTAAAAAATTGATGACGTCATCTCAAAATTTTGCCGAATAAATCCTTCCTTAAATATGCAAAATATTATGACTCCATAATGACATGCATTGTGGTTTATCAATGCACTCATCGATTTTAGAATTACTTATACAGAAAATTATTACACTGCATCTATCCAAATTGATATACATACACGCACCCGTCTTTACATTTATTTTAACTTAAAAGCGTTATCATAACAAAAATTGAAAACGCAAAATCAAATCTTATAATTTTTCGAAAAATCTGGATCTATTGCCTTTTACAATATTTAGGTATCACAATTTTTCGTTTTTTAATTTTTTTTCTATTTTTCTATTTTTAATGTTTGGTTTCCATAATTTTTCATTTTTTCAACTTCAACTTTTCAAATTTTTCAATTTATCGTTTCTTCAGTTTTTCGATTTGCAATTTTTCGATATTACAATTTTTCCATTTTTCAGTTTTCCAATTTTTAATTTTTCTATTTTCTCGATTTAATATCACAATTTTTACTTCTCGAGCGTAAGCAAAGGAAGTATTGTAATCGAGTCTGTCGGCCGACTCTCTACTTTTGCATTTTCTCGACCTATCATGACCCCTAGAGGACGAAGAAATAGGTCTCCCGTTTCCGTCTGTCTGCCGTCCCGGATTTTTACTAGACAGATAATCTCCGAAAATATTGGGCCAATCGTTGTCAAATTTTATATTTATATTAGGTATATCATGTAGATGGTAAAACGCAAACCAAAATTTGTCTAATCATCCCCACCACTAGTGTGATGATGTTACTTCAAAATTATACATAGTACTTGGGTTTTAAATTTTATCAAATAATACAGTTTTACACATGTAGTTTATGACTCCGAATTGAGATTTTACCCGAAACGTTCAAATCATAATCAAAATTAGGAAATAACATTTTGACATTTAATTTGGAATCTACAAAACCGAATGCTTTGAAATCTTGCATATGGTTTACAGCTATGATAAGCATGATAAAATTTTAATCACAATATATTTACTTATCCCTTCCAAAAAATTGGTGACGTCAGCTAAACAGTTTACCGAATAAATCCTATGAAAAATGTACAAAATATAATGAGTATGTACTTGTAATTTATCATTCCATTAATATTTTTTGGATTTGCATATACAGGGTGACTCAAAAAAATTAATGAATGCGTAAATTTACTTTATTGATTTAATCGGGAACTACAAAAAACCGAATGCTTTGGAGTCTTGGAGATGTTTTAAAGAAGCATGGTAAATTTTCGATCAAAATGTATTTGCCCCCCCCCCCCTAAAAAATTGATGACGTCACTCCAAAATTTTGCTGAATAAATCCTATCTAAAATGCACGGAATATGATGAATTTGTTCTTGTGATTTATCATTCCATTCATATTTTTTGGATTTGCTTATACAGGGTGACCCAAAAAAAAATATCATTGTATTTCAGGAGCGAGGTAAGTTCTGTCGAAACAACTTTCGACCAGTTTTTCTTTTTCATTTCCTTAATGTTTTTCAATGTTCCTTTCGATTTTACAGTTTTTTGTTTATTCAGTTTTTCAGTTTGGCAATTTTTGAGTTTCCTGATGTTCCGATTTCTTTAATTTTCAATATTCTGATTTTACAATACATATTTCGTTTTTTCGATTTTGCACTTTTTCGATTTTTAAATTTCTCGGTGTTTAATCTTTTTAATTTTTCAATTTGTTGTTTCTTCAATTTTTCAAGTTCTTGATCCAATTTTTCGATTTTTCAAAGTATTTGTTTTATACTTTTTCGTTTTTTCTTTTTTTTCAGTTTTACAGTTTTGCAATATTTCCATATATGTAGTTGAAAAATCAAAAACAAAAAAATTGGTCTAAAGAGTTTAGACAGTACTTCCCTCGCTGTCGGAAACTTGACGACTGCATGCCTATTGTGTTTTTTTTCTCATTACATTTTTGTAGTGGAAATTTAAAAAAAAATTGCGATGACGTCATCAACATTTTTGCAAGGACACGTATATCAGTTGGGATAGATGCAGTGTAATACTAAGAAAAATTGGTCTAAAGAGTTTAGACAGTACTTCCCTCGCTGTCGGAAACTTGACGACTGCATGCCTATTGTGTTTTTTTTTCTCATTACATTTTTGTAGTGGGAATTTAAAAAAAAATTGTGATGACGTCATCAACATTTTTGCAAGGACACGTATATCAGTTGGGATAGATGTAGTGTAATACTAAGAATAAAATTATTGTATTCCCAAATTTTCGGGAAAATGAATTGGGTCGTTTTGAATATTGATTTCTTATAATCAATAAAATAACGAAACAATTTACTCACGTATACGGCGCCGGTGTGTAATATGTAGAGAGCGGATTTCTGTCGGGCTAGGCAAGGCCAAACTCGGTACGGCTCGTACGGGATGCGAATTCATTGCGGTTGTGGACTGCACTTCGTTTATTTGAGATTAGAATAACGCTGTTTCGTTGCACTCTGATGTTAATTCCCGTTCTCATTTACTTAGCCGTTTGATTAATAAATCGTTAATTATACAGGGTTAGTCACGAGAGAATTACTTCTGAAAATTATTTTTACGCAACCCAAAATACGAATACCATGTCCCATTTGATACTAACTGAATTTAAAATGAAATGCTTAATCCATGATTGCTTTGAGTTTGGCAATCTCATTTTGACAATTGTGGAAAATGAGGTTACGCGAGTGTCCATGGTGGTACCGCAGCCAGTCGGAAATCTCCTCCGGCGCCGCTAATAAATTTGTGTGCCTCTTGATCTTTTACAACCGATTAATCACGAGAAAATTATTTCTAAAAATTCCTTTTACGGCATTTTATTCAAAGGTTACAACACAAACTCAAACAAGTAAGTAAATAATTTAACTACTAATCTGTTGAAAGTGTTGGGCATTTTGGGGGGATGCTACGGCTTTTTTGTAAATGGATGGCCGAAGAAGTCCAGAGGTTGCAGATTTGCACTTCGAAGAGGCTCTAGGTGACGCAGAGATGGCGAATTAACACATGCACATTAGGGCGAACAACATTGGTAGAGCACTTACGGCTTCAGTATAGCCCAGATTGATCTGACTGTATGTCGTCGATCCAATGGGGCTCTAGAGGCGAGTCAACGGTGAAAAAAAAAGTTAAAAATTAATTAACGTCAAAGTGACACTGCCAAAGTCAAAGCAATCATGGATTAGGCATTTCATTTTAAATTTAGATAATATCAAGTGATACAAGGTATTAGTATTTTGGGTTGCGTAAAAATTATTTTCAGAAGTAATTCTCTCGTGACTAACCCTGTATTTATGGAATTAGTACTGATTAAATTCAGTGATTATCTATCACCCGCTACTCAGTCCCGGCGATCCAGCGCGTCCCCACCTATAATCGTGACGTAGCCCGACAAAAATCCGCTGTCTAGTAATATGAAAGGCAACTGAAAATCGTTTATGTATAAACATTCTTAATTTAAGATGACAAGCGTAACAGCATACGTGAGAGTCAAACAGAGAAACTGTAAACAAAACGACCATCGGTTTTATTGCTTCGACTTCCGCTTATTATATAAAACATTGGGTTTTATTTTAATTCTTGACGGTGAAATTCACAATTGGTTGATTAGAAACATGTCTATTTCACATTCGCGGAACCAAGTGAGCGCATAAAACAAATGCAGGTCTGTAATGTTAAAGTCGATGTAAATAAGCGTGCTACCCTTATGTTTCAACCGAGTTTTTCCTTTAACAAATTTTGTGTCTACCAAATTGGGTTAGTTGGGGTGTAATACTAATAATAAGTGTTGCCTTTAATTTAATCAATAAAATAAATTGACTTCATTAATTTTTTTGAACCACCTCTTAAGAAAATCTAAAAAATATGAATGGAATGATAAATCACAAGTACAAACTCATCATATTTTTTGCATTTTAGATAGGATTTATTCAGCAACATTTAAGGGTGACGTCATCAATTTTTTTAGGAGGGATGAACAAATACATTTTGGACAAAAGTTTACCATGCTTATAATAACTTTAAAATATTCCCAAGATTTCAAAGCATTCGGTTTTGTAATTCCTGATTAAATCGATAAAATAAATTCACGCCTTCATTAATTTTTTTGAGTCACCCTGCATATGCAAATCCAAAAATATGAATGGAATGATAAATCACAAGTACAGACCCATCATAT